GAAACCCCTCGATGATGATGATTAGGACGCGGGGTTTGGCATTCTCCAAAAACTAAAACCTTCTGGCTTATATTTTATATTTTCCTACTTTTTTTAAATCACCTCAATTGACTCGTTTCATTTAAGAAGTAGAGCAGATCATTTACTGTTATTGCTGCAATTCTTATTCATTTCAAGACAATTTTGCAATTAAAAAATCATCAGAAAGGTGGCCAAATGAATAATACTAGTCACTTGTTGTTAAAAATTGTCTAATTGAAATGAAAGCGATTTTATTGTAATGATTTTTTTAAAAGAAAATTTCATGTTTAATCACATAAATACCTTGAATATATCCATTGTTCATACTTCTCAAAGCAAAAGTGATACGTTTGTATATTTTTTACCAAATAAAGATATGTTTATAATGACCTAAAAAAAGCAGGAGAAAAATGTGTCAGATTGAGCTTATTTTGATATTTTGAGCTTTGATTATTCAGCTCAAGTATCTGAAAAGTGGGCACATCGATGTTTCATTGCTTATTTCCCAAGCTGTGCCTTCCATTTAAATTTGACTAGGTTATTAAAAGTTAATCGTCTGTTCAGAAATCGTCAAACTTATTAGCCTTAGGCTTCGGTTTGTTAATATTCCTGTTATAATGTTTGTTGATTGACCTGCAGATAATCTATGTAGGGTTCCAATCTTCGTAGAGTAGACAGGTGAAAAATGTAGACTAAATGCTGGGTTCACCGAGCTTTCGGCAACTTATAGTGCCATCGTCAGGGCTTTCCCAAGAACGAAGACAACAATTAACATGGAAAAACTATTGAAAAGGCGTTTTGAGTTTAAGGTAATGGAGCACATGGCCAGCATACTACATTTTTAACGGTGAAAAAAAACAACTCGCTAAAAATCCTTATGAGAAGAGGTCCAACTATTTTTTGTTCTGACTACCTTTTTCTTACAGATACATTTGTGCTCACATAGAATTATTTAAAACTAAAATTACAGCTTTTTAAAAAAGTATATACAAAGGATTAAAATTAATAAAGAGAAACTAAGCAGTCTCCAACCGGAGGCGACGGAGATCGTCGCTCTCTCTCTCTCACTCTCTCTCTTTCTCTCTCTCTCATTAATTTTAATCCTTTGTAAATAGCTTCTGTACATAGCTGTAATTTTAGTTTTAAATGTATTCTCTGTGATCACAAATGTACCTGTAAGAAAATGCTAGTCAGAAAAAAGATAGTTGGACCTCTAGTCATATGGATTTTTAGCGAGATGTCTGTTTTCACCGTCAAAAATGTAGTATGCTGGCCATGTGCTCTATAACCTTAAACCCAAAACGCTTTTACAATAGTTTTTCCATGTTAATTTTTGTCTTCATTCTTGGGCAAGTCCTGATGTTGGCACTATAAGTTGCCGAAAGCTCGGTGAACCCAGCATTTAATCTACTTTTTTTCACCTGTCTAATGACCTCTAAGAAGATTGGAACCCTTCATATTCTAAGTTTTGCTCGCAGATGCTGTGATGAAAGAGCAACAGGTACGTGTCGACGTCTGGCGTATGGTAACCACTTCCCTCCTGTACATAGCGCTCGCCTTCACCGCCTGGGTGTTCTTGAGACTTCTGAACGCCTGCTTCTGGCTACCCTCTTTCTTAAGGAACCAGCGGGCCCAGAAGAAAGAAGACTGATTGTATTTTCACACCATAATCATTTATGAGATTATCATGGGTCTGCGTGGACATGGTAGCAATCATAGAGGATTTAATCAGGTAACAAAGGAAATGATCTTAATCTAAGATACGAAAAGTGGTTGTTGTCTTTTCTTGTGTTACTAAACAGAAATTAAATTCACGGAAGGTATTTATCATATTCTCAGTGGAACCGAATAAGTATTCAGTAAATATAAGAAATGTATTGTTATTAAACTATCGATTTGTCATGGAACTATAGTTTGAAAAGCTAGAGTTCGTTGCCTTTCGAGCGATACTAAAAATAGTAACGGATGGAATTTTTGATGACTCGTTGAAAAGCCGTGAACCTTTTAATAATGGGGATCTACAGAAAGAAATTGGCCGTATTAACTATGTAGGAAGTTCGCCGTTGGCTGATGACCTGCTTTTCGTTTAGATGGTTTGACGTAACGCAATTACAAGTTGAGTTTGCCGAATTCAGTAGTAGTGATAATAAAACACTGGATACAAATCAATAAACAATTGTAAGATTCCTCTTGGGGTGCGCGGAGTAATGTTTGGTCTTTTTCGATCATTGGTTTTGCTGATTCTGCATGTCCGGCTTTTGGCCATTTTCAGTGATGGGTCTGTGTGATTTCCTAAACTTGGAAACTAAGAACAATAAGAGATAAAACACAATCCATGCAGCGACTAGGGTCGATCAAATTGCGGCAAAACTCATAAAAAAAATTATGAAGTAGCCCGTTGTCCTCGTGCCGTTGACATCAACGTATTGAGGCGGATTATACGTTTTAAGGATGTTTAAAAGTTGAAATATTTATAACTCAAGATAATGGCTTTATCAGGGATGACTAAAGCGAACAGTACGGTTGAACCGCTTTCAATTCAAAGTGTTAAAACACGGTGCCAGAAGGACGAAATTTCACGCAAGAAATTTACAAAACATAATTTGTCTCTTTATTTCGAGATTTTGGGATTAGCATCGGTCGATAGAAATCTATCATTGTTGTTTTGAATTTTAACTTTTTCCCCGGGAGAAATTAATCAAAGTACTGGATCAAAATTCTAAATCTCATCCATCGAATCTTTTTAAAAGAGGTTTTTATTTTTATTTTTGGCCGTTTCACTCCAAAATTGCGTTCCTTTCTATAAAACCGGCGATCGTTTTCAGCGTAGTCCTCTCCTCAGAAGATATAACTCAGTAAGTTTTCTTCTTTTTTTATACATCTCTTTTTATTTATCAAGATTCTTATAGGTTAAATATTATTGTGTATATGTAATATTTACTGACCGTTACGTAATGATTATTACATATTAGATTATTTTCTCGTTAACACGTCTCACAACGGTGACACATCTACACAGAAAGCACACTGTGTGAGTACAAATACTTTGATCAAACCTAAAAGTTCTACATTGTAATTAATTAAGGTTTTTAGTTGAGATGAAAAAAGTTAATGGCACGAGCAGGATTCGAACCCACGATCTTCGGCTAGATACGCCGCTGCTCTACCACTTGAGCTATCGTGACCTCGATCCACTCGGACACCAACTTCTTATCTCAACCCCACCTGATGAGTTTTCCCTCCTTTTTGCCATTTTTCAAATGTGTAATCGGATTGGATTCTCGACGACAAATGAAATGGCCACGGAGAGCATTAGTGAAGTGTACTTCATTTTAATTCATTAAATTCACTAATTTCGTGGTCCGCTTGACCAATTAATACATTACAATTAATTAAGGTTTTTAGTTGAGATGAAAAAAGTTAATGGCACGAGCGGGATTCGAACCCACGATCTTCGGCTAGATACGCCGCTGCTCTACCACTTGAGCTATCGTGACCTTGATCCACTCGGACACCGGGATCCCGATAAATTCATAGACATATCGTATATGTATTTGTAAATTTAAACAATGTTTATATATCCCTGGCCCCGAAGATGATCTCAATAAAGATCGAAACGTGGCACGATGAAGAAAATGTTTTTCTATACGTGTGTGGTGTTTAGTGACCGTTAGTCAATGATTATTCAGAGATCGTGAGATGCGGTCTGGTGTGACGTAGGTTTTAGAAAAACATTTTCTTTATCATGCCAACGTTTCGATCTTTATTGAGATCATCTTCAGGGCCTATAAATCCCAGGACCTGAAGATGATCTCAATAAAGATCGAAACGTTGGCATAATAAAGAAAATGTTTTTCTAAAACCTACGTCACACCAGACCGCATCTCACGATATCTAAATAATCATAATATAATAAATCACATAATAAGTCAAAACAACTTTACCGACGGTAGAAATAGACGCCCCCCTTCAGGCTGTTTTATCTCTTTATTAACTTATGCTGTACTCTGACGACGTTGCTACACTTCGTCCCGGAGAATGGATGCAATAGCCAGCAGACTTACAAAAGCCATGTCTTGTATTGACAAGTCCCGTAACAAATGGAGGATTAAAATAAACCCCACAAAAATGGAGGCCATCTTCTTTTCCAGCGCAGGCTTGTGTAGTATCGACATGTCTTCGGGGGTCGGATAATACCATGGTCTGTTAAGTACCTTGGGGTAATTTTTGACAGTAAGCTAGCTAACTTTAACAAATCTGCAATTTCAGTTACCCTTACTGTGCAGAATCTCCAAACTGACCCCAGGAAACAAACTTCTCCTGTAAAAAGTAGTGGTTAGACCAATGCATGTATGCTGCCCCTCATGGGGTTTGACATCACGATCGAACATCGCCTCCCTATAAAACAAGCAAAATATGTTTTTGAATGAATTTCTTTGAACGGTGTGGGCTAAGCAGTAAGTCAGTTCGACAAATTGGGGACTTGAACTTAGTGTACAGGTTAGGAGAGTGAAGAACTCTTTCGTTTAAGCCCCGCCTACGCCTTAGGGTTTTTCTTACGATTTTTATCCGTAGATTAGGGATTTTATCCTTAGGGTTTTGTCTTGTTGAAAACTTTTTTTAAAGTTAAAATTCTATAAATGCCGTAATAAAGTACTAACTTATATTCCTTGGTTGAAGTATAAAGTACGAGAATTTCGAGTATTGTAAGAGCTAACACTGTACTTGACCTAACTTTGCGCTTGCTTGAGATTAATAAGATTTAAAAAGAATCGTGTTTGTTTATCGTAGATTTTTTTTTCAATATAGAAAATCTAGAAAGACAGAAATCTACTTCAGGAGTACATTGTTTTATTATTTCTTTTTAATGTCTCATAAACTAATCATGATACTTTTATGAAACTTGGGATTATTGAACTTGGTATTCTAATAATATCATAAACAATTTGTTCTTTATATTACACTTATTACTACGATGCCTTGATAGCAGGAAAGTATCATAAAACTAGCATATAGGTCTAGTATTGAATTAAGCTAAGTAAGGTAACTGGAATTTCCCCTATCCTAGATGTTTGTTCTTTGTTCTTTTGATCTACTATTGCAGTTTTATTTAAGAATATATTTACATTTTGTCTCACTTTTCCCTTTAACATTAGGGTAAATCAATTAGAAATCGGGAAGGGAAAGTTCTGAATTTGGATTGAGGTTGGCTTTTGATTTTTTTTAATAATTGACATTTCAGGTAGGTCGAATATTGTTTAAAAATCCGTTTCGCACAAGTAAAATTGTTTAATAATAGTGCATGTACCGGTGCAAAGTGAGAACTAGTGGCAGTGAACGACAGGGGCCGAGGGGGCGAGTCGATATAACGATTGGCAGAGACTGCTAGCCACGGTGAGCAAACAGTTCCCCAGGGATGTCCGACTGCTAGTTTTCCTCCGTCGAGAAAGACGGAAATGTCGACAATGAATTCGTCGAATTGCTGGGATGAGTGATGGCGTCTTCCAAATCGTGACATAAATGAGATTGGACCCGACTGTGAAGACTCATCCGGGAAGGCCGAGCGTACAACAATGCTGGTATGTTTCGAGTCCGGAATATTTATGTTAAACATTTATTTTTGTGTTTCACTCATACACAGCTGCTTTCGTGATTCAGCTTAAAATTAAATGGGGGTCGTTGAATCTTTATTCGGCCCGAGCTGGCTTTTGTTGTAAATATGAAATAAACCATATAAACCATATCAAACAAGCATTTGATCCTTTTTTTACTAATCGAAACGATATCTTTATTTATTTCAAGAGATTATGTCTTTATTTTGATAGTGGCATTCCAAATAAAAGACAATGGTTTAAGTTTATAAAGTCAATTGTGAAATAAACGCTCTTTAACACTTCAATCGGAAAGCAAACGACACTATTGTTTAAATTTTACATCAAAATTTTCAGTTGCTATTCCATTCGCACTTGTGACTTGAGGAAAAAAGCGAAAACAAGCGGGCCAGAGTGCTATTCTTCAAATGGCCTCAAATATTTATTCAGGCCATCTTTGGTTAGCCTGTTACATTATGAGATCCCAATACATTTCGGTTTTTGATGTATTTTCAATTTCATCTTCTGTCCCAAAAGTTGAAAAAAAAATATATATACTTGAAATAAATGACCAAAACCACCATGACGAGGGGAGAGATAAAGGATAAACACGAAAACTTTAGCGTTATACAGGCATATTATACGCATGTAAATTGATTACATCAATCAGCTCAAAAAATTGCATAAAAAACAACGAGATGATGAATAACATAAAACAACAACTGACGTAACAGGGACATTATTGGCGAAATAACACTTAGACAACACTGAGGATGACGAAAAGCGTCTGACATACCAAACCAGAATATGCAGACCAGGGTGATCAAAGAAAACCAAATTACAAATTCTACAAAAATGGCTGAAATTTTCAAAAACTCTTTTATTTATTGGCATTCAAAAGAGCAGTACAGTCATTAGACAATCAAACATATCCCGTTACTCGTCACATCAAAATTCTATTATCATACCTACAATCATTTTTACTTGTTCTTCATAAACTTTAAACATAAATATATGTGTTTGGTCGTCATAATTGATCTATTAATTTAAAGATAAATAAAATATATCATAAATAACAAAGAGCTGTTTGTGTTCATTCTCACTACCTTCCCAACTTTATTGACTAACTTGTGAGATTTCCTCCTGTGGTCTATGGGATAATAAACCTATTGTTTGAAATTTACCTATACCTAATTTACCATCCTGGTCTGCCTATCTTCATTGATTTTTGTTAATTCAAACGTGTTTCGGCATTTCGCCATCTTCAGTGTTTGGATATTTTTGAAGTGATGTTTTAGAAGAGGTCTAAAGTAGCAGTCTGATGAGTAGTATTAATACTGTTTATCGGTGGTTTGATGTGATGATAGGTATCTATCAAATAATAGGTTTATTGGATAATTGTAAGTTTATATTCGCTAATACTGGGCAACGGTCACTTTTCCGTCTATCGCTTCTTCGACCTATTTTACTATTTTTGAAATAAAACTATTCAAAGATTGAGTTAAGGGGCCGTTTCAGGGGTACTGAGGACGGAAGATGCCCGAAGGCTACGGCACGTAGGAAGCAAGACGCATCGGTGATCGTCGCCGGGGTCGCTGTTGCTTCCAGCTGCCAGATCGTTCTCCCCATCTTCGGTGCACTCTTCTTCATAGTCGGCACCGTACTTACAAGTAAGTGATAAAAATAAAATTTGACACTCAATTGTCCACGAAGGAAGTGTGAAATATGCTGGAATGAAGAAACTTCTAACAATAATCATTCATAATGTAAGCAAAAGAAGCTTGTTAAATAAAGCTACATTCCGAAAATTTTTGCTTTTAGACGCACATTTTCTTTGCGTTCTTCATGAATAAATTTTTCCATGTCGGTCTTTTTAAACGGGAATAATTTTGAAAGTGGTATTGCGCAAATTCAATTGGTCATATCGTTGCAACAATGTTCTTGAATTTACGAGCTTAACAGCAGTTTTCTTATTACCATAATCGATTTCTTAAAAGTTCAAGGGCAAAATGTAATATTTTGCTCTGCTGTAAGTGGTACTAAAAAAGCATCTGAATAAAAAGAAGACATTTATAAGACATTTTATTGATTCAGACTTGACGTTATTCAGCTGAATTCATTCTTTAGGGCGTCAATGCCTTCCATTATGCCTCCATTTTTCACTGTCTTTGGAATAACTTTTTACGCCCTTGAAATTTAAGCGTTTTAATTTCTTACAGAGATATCATTCACCCCGATTTTTGAACGTAAAATAATATTAGAAAAGCTTAAGATTTCATATGCTCAAATTTTTGCTTGAATTCTTCTATAAATTAATAACGTCCTTAAAGACTAAAAATAACTAAAGAAAAATATATATTGAAGAATTTCCAATACAAATACATTTTCTAATGCTTATTTTATACACTCTTTTATTTAAAGTTGGTAGTTTTTTGATCTGCATCAATAAATCAATCAACGGAGTCATAACATTTTACATAAAACAAATAAATGTTAAGGCAAGATTGGTCAACATTTTGCCCCGTTAATAAACATCACGCTAAAACTATAGATTTTACAGCTTATTTTCGTTGACTTAACTTGTATTACGGCTTAAGGAGGGGCGTCAGGTTTCGTGTCAGGTATAAAAGTTGTCAGTTAAATGAATGACGTCATGAATTACTTTGCAAATGCAGTTCTTCATTACAAAAAATGCTTTAATTTCGTTAATATTTAAAAAGAGCTGTAGCAGCTTTAGAATTTTATAAACAAACTTATTTACATTACTTGTTTTCTCGATCTCATCAGCTATAATAGTATAAAATGGTGTTTGTTGGTCTGCAAGTGGATGGATTGAACATGTTGAACTTATCGACACTGATCAGTTTATAGGGTCTGGTTATTCTTACTTGTTAATTTTTCTGAAACATAAACAAGTGAGAATAGGCGACCGGTAAAGTGATCAGTGTCGAAACAATGTAAATTTTCAATTTTAGCTATTCACACAAAACAGAATAATAGAGAATATTACATTAAGTTAAAATAAAACTTTGTTATAGTTGCTTCATATCGTGGGCCTGAAAATGATGAGGACCCAGAACAGTATGCTGACAGGGTCAACCTTACTAGCAACTTGCGGGTCTTAGGACCCTGTTGTCTGGCCATAGGGTTGGCCATGCTATTAGCTGGGCTCGGGCTCTTTCTTCTTGCAAGGAGGAACAAGAACAAAAGCCTCACATTCCATTGTCCACTACATGGTGATTTCTACCCCATATCGTCTAGTCATGCACATATCCTATGTAAGTTTGCCTGTCAAATTCTTGTTTAAATTGTTTTATTTTTCATTGTTTACTTTCAGCGCTGAGCAAAAGGAGCTCCCTGGTTTGTGGGCAGCAGTTGGAGAATGGAGATAATTTTCCTACTCCGCAATGTCCACACAGTAACAGGAGCTCTCTCAGTTATGGCCCACCCCCTCAGTCTTCACCATTGCCACCTGTAACTACCCACAACACGAGGTATTTCATTTATAATTACACCATAATATTTTACATACTAACTTTAATGACAAATCAACAACTTCACAATGACAGCATTAAGTAAAAACATGTTTCATATTTAATATGTACAAATATATAATTTTTGTTGCAAGTGGGTTTCTCACTCCAACCAACCTGACAATGGGAGAAAATTCAGGATCTACCCAGTCGCTAGCGATAAGTTATGATGTAGCTAGCTTTCCTCATTCCAGGAGCTCTTCACCAACAGCCCACATTGAACAGGATAAGCGTAATGAAACAAATGATGAACAGTAATCTTAAACTTAGTGCTCAAAATGTTTTTCTAAAACTTGGTTGAATGGTTTTGAATTTTTCACAGAATATTTCATTATTGTAACATAGTCATTATCCATGTTAAAGTTTTTTAAAACTGTACTATTAAACATGAAGTTTTGTGATCTCAATTAACAAAACTTTTTCATGTAAATCACCAGATCACAATTTAAAGAGTAGATTTTGTTTTTAACTATTTGTTAGAAATAGAAATTATGAATGATGGAGTGAGTGCGGTGATCAGTCCTTTTTAAAAAGATGGTTCCTACTCACATTAAGTTATTAAGTTGTGAAACAACTTAATGTGAGTAGGAACCATCTTTTTAAAAAGGATTTGTTAGAAATGTTCATACATTCTACTTTTTAATAGAAAGAAATATAAATCTGTCTGTATATATTCATTATTGTATTAATTATTTATGGATAGAATTTAGCTTAATGACTGTTATAGTGCCTTTCGTAGAAAACTCTTTAGGAAAAGAATAAGTATTAATAATTAAAAAAAAAGTTACTGTCATTTGAAAATGAATTCACTATTTTATCAAGAATTGATGCAAGTATATAGAAAATGATATCTTTTGTAAACTGGATTGAGATTAATATGTCTTAATTGGACTGAATCATTAAAGTATATTAATTCACCATAAAACAAAGAAGAATGGTATGAAAATATCATAGATGTAATTGTTTTAAATGCACTTAATCTAAAAATAAATAATATTGAAGATAAAAGGTTTATCTTTAATTATAAAAGGTATTGAAACTGGTTTAATTGCACATTTGAAGTTAAGTTATGTTAAAATATTTACACAAAACTTTACTATTTGATAAAAAATTGATTCATGTATGAAGTTATAAAATTATATCTTTGGTAAACTGTGTTGAGGTTATTAGATCTTAATCAGACTGAATCATTAAAGTATATTAATTCAATATAAAACAAAGAAGAATGGTATGCAAATATCTTAGATGTAGTTTATTTTCAAATACTCTTAATTTAACTATAAATAATAATGAAGATCAGACTTGTAAGGAAAAATATAATAAAACTTATTTAAAATATCATTAATTATTGTATTATTGTAATAATTATTGTAAATGTATTGAAACTAAAACCTGCACTTATTTTTGCAATGAAATTAGTTTTTTACTTTGACTTATTTAAAATTTGAATGTTATGAAAACAAAAAGCACAGATAAGCTGTAACAATGTTATTTACTAAGAGACTGACATTTAGTGTCAATGGTGGAAGTAATATAAAAAATTAAAAAATAATTTATAAGGCTTGATTTACTGTTCACTTTTTATTTTCAATAAATGTATTTATATTTTTTTTCTTTTCAGCTGATTAAGCCTTCTCTTAAAATTTCAACTAAATAAATAAACTAAAAATTAAAACACAAGGAAAACTAACCTAACTTGTGGAATTTGTGTGATTAGATATTATTTAATACCAAATATAATTTCATATATTCTGAGTAGCATTTTCCTATAAATAACAATAAATCTTTGGGGTGTGTAATACCATTCATGATCTCAAAAATACTTGCACATTTTTGCTGAACTAGAAAGCCACACTAAGCCATCAGCATAACAAATGCAATGTGCGAAAACTCAAATCCTCCAGTAATGAGGAAAACCAGGAAAAAATACCAGGGTAATATGAAAAACTGTTCATCACAAAATTAACAATTTGATTAAATCTAGTATGGACTTAAAAAAAGGGAAACAATCAATTGGTGGCAATAAATTTAGGTACAATTATAGAAGACAAGACATCATGGTATATGTACCTCCAAATTCAAAAAGGAACACCAAGTGGAATCAGTATGAAAGCAATCAACATTCTGTAAAACTGTCAAATCAGGTTCAAGCTTCAATTTGTAAGGAAATGAATATAGTCAATTAACAAGTAATTATTGTATAAGTTAGGAGACTTCAATGGCCAATTTGTATTTGTCAGCATTGCTTGCAGTTCTAGGTTCAAATCCCATTGCAAAGTAGTTTGTCCCCTTGTCCATGACACCCAAAAATGGCTAATTGGAAGTTAAGCCCTCCTGTATGACAGGAATTACTTTATTTTGATGTGACTTTTTATTATGTAAGTTTTTAAAAAATAAAAATAAAAAGTGCCATTTATTTGTAGTGATATTTCACCATCTTTTGTACAATTTAATTTTGCCTTAAATGATAAATGAATAAACTAGAGGAAATCTTCGTTATAATCCTGACTAGTATGCCAGGGTATAAACCAATTTATACAAACAACAATTTAAAAAAAACAGCAAGCTTTTAGGTCAAAGCAATCTGTTTATATAATGGTATTTATATATGTATTAGCAATATGTTTTTGATATTAGAGATTGGTACTTGATTACTGGGACTGTCTACTCTCTTGTAAGTTTAGGCTTTATGTTTCCATTCTGTGCATAAGTGTGGGGAGTAATATTTGAAAAAAAGAGTTTGCCCGTGGATAACCAGATGTTTTATTTAACTCATGAGCAGTAATTATAATTGTAATATGGGAATCAGGGAATTAAGAATTTTCAGGATATTAAAGTGAAGCTTCAGTGCAGATACCATCAATAGGATGTCTCACAATACAACATATTGCTAGGAATTGAGAATGGGTGGCCCAAATGCTTTTTGATTTAAAAAATTCCACAAATTTCTCAATGTTATAATGTTGGTATCCCCAAAGGGATGCTCAGAACAGCACAGAAATAACATTAAATATGTTGAATTTAGCTTTCATCGAATGTTGTTATTTAACATTAAGCCAGATCTGTTATATCCCATCTTAGCTGTAGATGGCACCTGCCATTATCTATAATTGTGAGATGACTAGATAGATTCTAGTTGTATATGACTGCAGTTTGTGCCATCCTAGACCTTCTGACGTGTGGTCATGGAGAGGTAATCCAAACTCACAGAGGAGATTATGCCAAGCCACAAAAGACACCAATACAGTAAGCTACATAAAGGAATAACTGATCAACTATTTTTTATTCAGCACAGTGACCAAAGGTGGAGTTGAGATGGGAAGTTGGTGTCCGAGTGGATCGAGGTCACGATAGCTCAAGTGGTAGAACAGCGGCGTATCTAGCAGAAGATCGTGGGTTCGAATCCCGCTCGTGCATTGACTTTTTTATGTCAACTAAAAACCTTAATTAATTGTAATGTATTAATTGGTCAAGCAGACCACGAAATTAGCGAATTTAATACAGTGACCAATATTAATTTGCTGAGAATTACATGGTGCTGGTTTTAGTTTTGCTATAATATTGCCTGCGAAGGTTTGTCATAACCAATCCATTATTGGTTGACTAAAAGGCAACCGAAAGATTTTCTCGATTGTCTTCTTTTCTATGTTTATTTCCTGTTATATAGTACATAAAATGACCCATTGGGTATATCAGTGACGTTCTTATTCTTCATTATTCTTAGTGAGGTTCACACATCACACATATTTTCTTTGTATCCTGTGAAGTGTACTGTTGGTTCTAAGTAAACTCGCTGCTTTTCGTTATGCCTTTACAAGCAATAAAATATAAGAACGGAAGGTTGGAAATACTTGACCAGCTGCTGTTGCCCCAATGCTCGAAATATACAGAAATTAAAAACGTTTCGGACGGATGGAACGCCATAAAATCAATGAACGTGAGTCATAACATTTTACATAAAACAAATCTTGTTAAGGCAAGATTGGTCAATATTTTGCTCAGTTAATAAGCATCACGCTAAAACTATAGATTTTACAGCTTATATTCGTTGACTTACTTGTATTACGGCTTAAGGAGGGGCGTCAGGTTTCGTGTCAGGTATAAAAGTTGTCAGTTAAATCAATGACGTCAGTGATTTTTAAATATAGTTATTCCCTACAAAAAGTGCTCTTATTTCGTTATATTTAAAAGACCTGTAGTAACAAGTGCTTTAGAAATTTAAAAACAATCTTCAAGCTTATTACATTTACGTTTAGGTCAAGGCCAGGACTCAGGAGAGGTTTGAAAGTTTAAATTTTTTTTAAGGATGATCTTAGCAGATCCTATTTATGAAGATATGAATAAAAACCGTTTACTACCAAGGGCACAAAGTATCCAATGGCTTACTAATCTGGTGAACCAAACCTCAGCAAAAATAAGTTATCCAAACATTGGGATGTGTAAAAAGATTCACAGGAGCAGAAACACTGCTAATACAAATAGCCTTATTTATTGGTTCCCATGCCATCTCCTTTTCAATCTGGCTAACGAAAATTTTATAGTTGTGAGACAGCCCTTCTCAAATCTCAGATGATATCACCTAGCTATTGATAGTAGATAATAAGCGTACTATTTTTGTTCTACTTGATTTTTTCAATGCATTTTGTTCCATAAATCATAATTTGCTTGTTTTAAACTGATGCATCATTTTGGTTTTTCTTTTACTGCTACTAATCTCATTTCCTCCTATCTGTCTGACTGAACTCAGAGTGTTAAAGCTTCAAATTCTATCTCCTCTTCTCTTTCAATTTCAGCTGGTATATCCCAAGGCTCTATTCTTGGAACTATACTCTTGTACATGTTTCTAGTATTAAGAGGGTATTTTTGTCATGATGAGTCTTTGATTCCAGTCAGAATGCCATGACTGTTGGTGACAATAACTGCTTCTGGTTTTGGTGGATCTGTTACATATTTTAGTGCTTCCAGGATAGCACTGTTCTCTGCAGTAAAGATTGAGCCTATACTACTTACTTTGATCAATCAGACCACAATTTCTCGCTTTATAGCAGCATTTTGTGTTTTTGCACCTTCCCTCCAAGTCATCAGCCTTTGTTATCAAATATGGGGCATGTGTTGTTGGTCCCTATACCTTCTTGCCCTGAATTAGTATTTTTATTTTCATATACATTTATATTAGTATGTATTATATGATATCACATGTCAGGTAGAAAATTCGACAATGAAGTAAAATATTTTGACAATTCAAAAACAAATATGCAAATGCTCTATTTCTGTAAAATTTAATGGATATCAATATTTGATAGATATATTGAAATCTGCAAAAAATATTTGGATATTGATTCATGCTGTTTTTATTAGGTGAGAGGGGCCCCAGCAATTGCAATTGTTGGTTGCTTGAGCTTGGCAGTGGAATTGCGTCAAAAAAATTTTAATGGGAAACAGGAAATGCTAGAAGAAATCACAAAAAAATTGGAATACCAAATAACTTCTCGCCCGACTGCTGTTAACATGGCCAAAGAAGCCGATGGTATAATAAAATTGTGTGAACAACTGAACAAAGATGATAAAGTTGATGTTGAAACTATGAAGAACAGGTATCTTTTGTGTTTTTAATTAAGCATTTGTTTTTCTTTTTATTTCTTCTTGTTTTTTCTCAGCTTATTAGCAAAAATAGAAGCTATGTTGGAAGAAGATATTTTCAAGAATAAAGAAATAGGCAGATATGGTGCTGATGCAATTTTATCTACATGTGACAATAAGAAAAAATTGAATGTGTTAACACATTGTAATACTGGCACACTTGCTACGGCTGGCTATGGAACTGCATTAGGAGTAATTAGAAGACTACACGAATTACAAGCAATTGGTAATAAAATATAATTTTAAAAAAATATAAATTAAATTTTTTAATGTTTCAGAAAGAGCCTATTGCACAGAAACTCGCCCTTATATGCAAGGATCAAGATTAACTGCTTATGAACTTGTTTATGAGAAAATACCATCCACTTTGATTTGTGATAGTGCAGTTGCTGCTCTTTTCAAAGAAGTGAACATTTCAGCGGTGGTTGTCGGTGCTGATCGTGTTGCTGCAAATGGGGACACTGCTAATAAAATTGGGACTTACCAGGTTGGTACTGATAAGTCAGCAGTTGTCTAACTTTAATATTTAAAGCTTGCAGTACTCTGCCATTACCACGGCATACCATTTTATGTCTGCTCACCCCTGAGTACAATTGACTTTACTATGGAGTGTGGTAAATGTATCAAGATCGAGGAACGACCTGATGCTGAAATGACTGATGTTTTAGGAAAAAGAATTGCTGCGCCAGGTTTGTTTAAAAATTGATAATGAATTTGGTTTGGTTTAAATAAAGGGTATAATTGAAGGTTTTTTTCTTTTTCAGGTATAAAATGTTGGAACCCAGCTTTTGATGTTACTCCAGCATCTCTTATAACAGGAATAATTACAGAAAAGGGGGTTTTCAAGCCTGAAAATCTTAAAGAATTACAGGGATCTCACAAAATGTAATAGTCCTGTAACTTTTATCGTTATTTTTTAATTATCTCTGTGGTTATTCATTTTAAATTAGTAGGTAATAATAATGTGTTCAATAATAACCAATTTATATAAAAGTGCACATTTATTTTAACTCACATTATTTTAATATTTGCATATCATACTCTATACACAGAAAGAAAATTGATACAAGTTTATTTTAAACCTTTGTAGAAAAAAGGGCAGATGTCATCAGTATAGAGTATGTAAGACAATCAATGTGAAATAATTTTTGCATCAATAAAAAAAAGAAAAATAATAATAATAAAAGTGATCCTATATTGGTTCAACATGATTTTACTGATTCATAGACCAACACCCATCATTAACTGGTTATACTCTTAAGTATCATCTGTACCAGAACTTTTAGATTTACAAGGGCAATTAATCATTAGGCTTTTTTTTAAATAATCTGTTATGTTTTGCTTTAGGCTGATGTAATTGGATCACCTAATAGCACAGAAGATATATATTTATCTAAACATATGCAGATTTTTTTCTGTTAAAAATAATATAGTAATTACCATTATCAATACCATTTTCTTTAAATTGGGATGATTAATGATAAATGATTTTGTAAATTGAGCGAGACATCTTAAAAACACAACTCATATTTACCACTAATTATTTTATTTTGGCAGCACCCCTAGATCTTCATGGTGTGACTTTTTTTTTCGTATAAGTGCATAGCACAATAATCGTCTGACACTACCAAAGCATGTGATTATCAACATAATTCTCTAACCTGCAGTTTCCATCTAGTCTAAACATTCTCATGAACTATTTCCTGGCCACTTGAAGAAATTACACATCATGGAATTTTGCAATTTCTTCGATTTATAAAATTTGTAGTAGTCACTCATTTGACGAAAGTGTCCTGCAATTTCTGGATGCTCCTGAGGAGTCTTGTGTAGTAGAAAGTGTTATTAGGTCTGTACGGGACAGAAGATTTCTGCGAGTCTGTTACCATTTCTTTTATTTTTTCAACATCTTCCTGAAAGAAAGAGGAAAAACAACATTTAACTTTCTTAAAATAAACATAACTTTACTTTGTAAATACACTAGAGGAATAGTCTTAATTATTTTAAAAATTTACTTAAAATTAACATACCATTATAGTTCAAAAATCAATTACCTCATTTTGTGCAGGGATAGCATTGACAAAATAATTCTGATATTTTGAAAATAGTTTGTTGTCTGACTGGAAAAGCTGGCTGAGAACTTCATGAAAGCTGACCAACTTTTTGGGGAGGCAGTTGCACTGAGAGGTGGCCTGAGTCCTTTGGTCAAAGTTGTCTTTCTGAGGGATTGACCAAGGGTCACCATCTTCATCATCCGAGTCATTAGTGTGCACACAAGCAGGGCAGGATGGGTGCCGGAATTTATCTTGGAGAATGCTTGGAGACGTGAAGATAGTGAACGCGGAAGACCTTTCTGAAATTGCTTTATCAGGGTTTCCTTCGCTCAATGAGATAAGACTCGGTGTAAGTTTGAACAAGGAAAGAGTTTGCTGGATGTTTAGCCCTATGTGGTAACTCTTGTTGGTCGATTGCCCGACAATGAACGGTATCCTGTTGAATTTCACAGATGGTTGAAAGCTTCTTTCAGATCTAGCTTTGCTGATTGTAGATAACTGCAAATTGTTAACTTGAGATTCTGTAATCAGACTATTGTTTGCAGAATGCTTTTGTGGAAACGCACACGCTGTTTTTGGGGGAACATTTAGAGCAGTAGAGACAGGTTTTTTTGTTGCTTGGTTTTGGAATTGTGTTAATATGTTGTTAACTACTGTTTTATTAGCTTCAGTTTTTGGGGGGCCCATAGGTTTTGGAGTTGTGACTTCTTTAATAACTGAATCTGTCTGGTTTGTAATTTCTTTTGGAGGAACATTTGGTTTTACATTTCCCATTATTTTAGGCATTGTGTTACTCCTTTGGTTTCCTTCTTTCACAACAACATTAGGTTTTTGTACTTTTGTCACAGTTGTCTTAACTACATTACCTGCTATATTTTTTTGTTCGAATATACCGACTTTCTTCATAATTTCAGTTTTTCTTTGTATTTGTGGTTGTTTATTAAATTGTTCAGTGTGTGGTGTAGTCTCATTTAATTTTGTGTCCCTTAAAACTTTACTTTGGTTATTTGTAGTTGATTTCAGTTGGGGCGATTTAGGAGATTTATTTTGTGAATTCATTTTTGCTCCTATTTCTTGTTTGAGTTGTTGAACATTTGCTTTAGTTTCCACTTTACTATTAGTACTTTGAAGTTTGTTTTGTTCTTGTTTTGTAACAACGTATGTTTTATTTGAAGTATCATTTTTTGATACAAGAAATTTCGACTTTATTTGACTGTAATTGTGCAATAATTTTCCTTGAGGTGGACCTTTGGAAATAGAAGAAGTATTTTTTTCTACTTTTTTTGTTTGAACCAACTCCACTTTATTGTCTCCAGACTGTACATTTGTTAAAAGAATCCTTTGATCCTGCTGTTTTATGTTTCTTAATTTCTCTACTAGAGATGTTACAAGTTTCTCATGAACATCTTCATCTTCATTAGATTTTTCAGCTTCTTTCCCTGGTGTTATTTGCTTAACTTTGTTTGCATCCTTAATTTGAAGATCCACTAAAGATGGTTTTACAGGGGGAGTTGTGTTTGTTTCCTCTGGTGATTTTTTATTAGTCTCAGTATTTTTTTTGTTATTTTGTTCTGGAGTGTTAAATTTTGTTTGCTGTGTTTTAGGAGGTTGCCTTGCAACAGGTGGAGCAATAGTAGATTTAGACCTCCTAACAGGTTCATTAGTCCTGTATCCAAAAGTCGGAGGTTTGGTAAATGGTACACGCTTTACAAAGTCCTCTTTCCGTTTTCCTGACCTAATAGAGCTTTTATGTCTTGTGGGGCTTTTATCATATTTTCTTATATCTTTTTTATTCATTACCTTTTTCATAAAAGAAAGCACATCATTCATGGGCAGTATATGTTTATCGTCCTTTGACTTTTTAGCCGGAGCCGTTTTCTGAATTGGTTTCTTTGCACCTTTGGTCTTTAGTGTCGATTTACTGGGCTTTTTTGAAACTTTGACCAATGAGGTCAAGTACGGTGAAAGTTTTGCTGGCACTTTGGTTGGGATATTTATAGTCTTTGTTTTTGACCTCTTCTTAGAGACATCATTTTTGTTCTCATTTTTTGGGGGCTTGACTGACTCATTATCATCGTTCTTTGGAGGCTGTGATACAGTTTCAACTTTTTCATCTTTTAATTCTTCTTTAAGCTTTTTATTCACAACAGGCTCATCTACATTAGAGTCTGCTGTATTTCGTTCCTTTGGGTCAATCGAAGAGAAAAACTCACCGATATCATCATCCTCTGCTTCATCATTATAATCATCACCATCATCATAGGAGAAAGTATCAATGTTGTCCAATGCTCCAGATGTGGCACTATGAGCGGAGTTGCTTTTCTCATCTCCATTTTCAATGGTTTCAAGGCGTTTAAAGAAAATATCGATGATGTCTTGCCTAGATTTGCTGCTCTTAGTTGACGAATCGGCTGTTCCGGATTTGTGTTGTTTCTGCTGAGTGTCTGGTGATCCTTCTTGGGCCATCTCTAAGGCTGTTTTCTCTGTCGGTGTTGCATTCTTCCTGAGTATTTCCTTTAATTCTATGTTTAGGCTATCACTCAAATCCTGGTACACATCAGACATATTGTCTATATTGTCTGTCCTGTCATCAAACATATCATCCCCTTCATCGTCCTTTCGTACTACTTTATTATCATCTCCTGTATCTTGTTTATCTGGATCTTGCACTTGCTAATGGACAAAATGAAAACATACAATTTAATTAATTATATTACAATAGGAAAAAAATGTATAAAGTAGGTGGGTTTAGGTTCCTTACTGAACTTTCTTCATCTTCAACCATGTCGAGTAAGTTTGTGCTGCTGCTTTTTCTAACCCTGTCTTTAACTATATCTAACTGCTGCAAAAGTGAACCACATTTTGTTGTGGCTAGCTCCAGTTGTTGTCTCATTTCTGGGAGGAGAAAACATGTTACTCAATGCTTGGTGGGTGAAAAAATTAATTTGCTCACCATTCAGTACGTGTTGGGGAGGAGGTTGAGGTGTGGCCATCGCGGATCACGATCGTCAATTGTTTGCCTATCGATTAAAGATTAAATAGAGATAAAAAATTTAGATTTGGAAAAAGCTTGTTTGTTGGTCGAAAACACTGTTGAATAGCCAACAATTTTATAAATTTACTGCTAATGATTGAGAGAAATAATCCACCCAAATTACACATTTTAGATATTTTTATAATTTAAACCATCCAGTTATCCGATCATTACTAAAGAAAAATGTGAGATTTAGAAAAACGTTCTTGTTCAGTCAAAACTGATGAACTGCCAAAAACATTCCTACCCAAATTGGAATGATGTTTGACAGTAATGATCAACTGTCATAAAAAATATAAATACCTGCAGATTGGACATAAATTGTAGCATGATTTACAAATTCCAGCTATTTTTATAATTCAAAACATCCAAATCCAAAAATCTGATAATTAAAAAATCCGGGATTTGGAAAAACTTGGAGGGTCGGCCAAAAGCACACTGATGAAATTCCAAAAATATTCCTGACCAAGTTGGAATGATGTTTGCCAGTAATGATCAGATATTTTTAAACAAAGATATTTTAAATAAAGATATATTTAATAAAAATATCTTCAGTTTGAACATAAACTGTAGCATGTTGTACACATTTTAGCTATTATAATGCTTTTATAATTTTTATAATACATCCAGTTATTCGATAATTGAAAAAACTGAGATTTGGAAAAAGGTGGTTAGTTGATCAAAAGCACACTGATGAAATTCCAAAAATATACCTGACCAGGTTGGAACGGTGTTTGTCAGTAATGATCAACATAAAAAAAAGAAATATCTCCGTAGCATGTTTTACACATTTTAGCTATTTTTATAATACTTCTATAATTTTTGTAATACAACCAGTTATTTGATAATTGAAAAATTTGAGATATGGAAAAAGGTGGTTAGTTGATCAAAAGAACACTGATGAAATTCCAAAAATATACCTGACCAAGTTGGACCGATGTTTATCAGTATTGATCAACATAATCAAAATACAAAAAATATTTAGTTTGAACATAAACTGTAGCATGTTTTACACAATTTAGCTATTTTTGTAATAATAATACAAATCATGGTTATTTGCATACCATTTCTGCTCTTTCAAATTTAGAATATAAAAAATATAAATTACTCATTTAATTAGCAACGATTGTTTTAAGAGGAGTTTTTGCTCAGTAAGTTCTTTCATTAATGAGTTTTTGGGATTTTTGTTATATTTAACACGAAATATGAGCAATATTTTTTTGCTTATTATAAATATTTAGTTCGTGAAAAACTGAGTTTTGTTTTTAAAAAATCTTCAATAAGAAAATAATTACAATTGTCATAGATTTGTAGCAACAAAAAAGGAGAAACATTTTTAAAAAGTGCAATATTAAAGTTAGCAGTTTTCTCAAGTTCCAAATTTATTTTTTGAAACTAATCTTATTTGTAAGCTTTCTTTTAAAAACAATAAAATCACTTACCTAAATAAAAAAAATGATGAACACCTTTCACGGGAATTCTACGCGCTTAAAAAATAAAAACTCTATCGATCTAGGCCCTGGAAATTTAAATCAGCTATTTTATTCATGTGTGGTCTACAAGAAAATATAAAGTGGCCATAACCTTCGCACCGGATTCTAGACATGTGTTAAACATTTGTTAAAATTTGTTTAAAAATATTTGCGAAAATCACTATTAGCTAAAAGGCGTGTTTTTTTCAAGCGTTTCCAGAGTTTTGGAAACGGAAGGAAGTTATCAAATAAAAGGCAAGAGGATTGTTTAAAATTTCCGACGATATCCTCCTGTAGAAAGGCACAATTTAAGTCGTCATGTTTTTGGAATAAAATAAAAGGCGATTTGTTCATTTGCTTAAGAAAAGTTTTACTGAGATGTAAAGAAATTTTGAAGCAGAAAGTTCTTTTTGACCCAGGGACAAACAGAGGCCTTTGGTTTTTCATAAACCCCATTTCTCTTTAGCAAACCGTTCCTAATTTACTACGTCATTTTCTCTTATAAGATTATTTTCTATAAACTTGTGTTCGTGTTTGTTTGAAAATATTGAATGTTTTTATTAAAAAGCACGTAAGAATCCCTGTATAAAACAATATTTTTAAAACACAAATACTGTTTACACTGACGCCCGCGCGCACCTTGAGATTGTTGTTACAACAAATTGAGTTTGTTAAACGGTGGAATTTCTATAAAATGCTCGCGACGGCAAAACCCGACGTCTTCGAAAATGGCCCACGTGAGCGTTTTGCCGTTCATTCTGTTCGTCTTGGCTTTCTCTCCCTCGTTAGGTGGGTATTCATTTTTTTCCAAGAGTTCTGAATTATGCAAACATAACCGTTTACCATTGTAGGACTGCCTCAAGGAATGACCCTTGAAGAACTCTGCGCCAGGTGCAATGGTACGTTGGAAATTAGAGATGGGGACGTTGCACATTGCATCGTATCGACAGGTATCGTAGATTGAACGTAACACTTTAAATGATAACTATTATGTAAAAAATTATGTTTATAGATTATTAAAAACTTACATTAATTTCTGATCAAATTAAAGGCGTAGTAATTAATGACCTGTTTAAAATTAAACTTTTTGCTCCATTAAAACTTTTAAATTATCTTTCTCTTCTAATCATGCTTTCCTTCAAGGTACAAGGAAAAGTTGTTTTTTTAAATTTATACTCAAATTAAAAACACATCATAGGAATTTTTTAAAATATATTTTTATTTCCTTCAAGATACGGATATGGAAGCAGCACAGAGAGCTTCGGCAGAAGCGTTCGAAGAAGGGCTAACCATGGTGCCCGAACTAAAAGTTGAAAGTGGAGTTCTTGACCGAGATGAAGGTATAATTAAATCAAAACAGAATATTATAATAAACATGTCAAAAATGATATTAAAAATCCATATGCAATACGAAAAGGGCAAAATTTACCTTGAGAAGTGCGTAGAATACTTAGATTTTTTGTAGAAAAGATAGTTCTACTCTCAAACTGCTTACAGCTATTCGGATTTATACTATTGAAAGAATGAAAACTATTTTTTTATCTATTGTTGAAAGTTTTTATACGGATGATTTTTTGTTCTCTATTGTGGGTTTTACTTTTTTGGTAATAACTTTTCGAAAAGCTTATAATCTGTCGGTAGTAGCGATGTGGGTCTAAATTATTTGACTTCCTTTCGTCGGTTTCCCCGGTTGTGATGTATGTCGTGTATCATGATCACTTCTGAGCATTTCCAGATAATGGGAACATAAAATTTTAGCCAGATTGCAGTTAAGTATGTTAGTTTAACTAACCCCTTTTTTAGGAATTTTTTTAAAAATCATATTTCTCCACTGATAAGGTCATATGTTGGAGTCTTTTTAACCAGTAAGCCTATAATTTTTTGCGTTATATCTTTAACTGTAAGTACCTAGCTAAATTTCTGAAGCTGACCGGCGAAAAATTCGGCCTTTTCTATGCTGTCTCTAGCCTTAAACCGTCTTCTTTTTGTAATGGAGAAATTTTGACGATTTGTCTTTTTTTATTGCCTTGGTAGTAGTTAGTAGCTTTGCCTAGTATTTGCTCTGCTAGGCAATTCCTGATCGAATCTTTGCGTATTTTCTATCTCTCTTTTAATTTTTTTGCGCCCTATTACATTTTTGATATCCACTTGTCGAGGTTATTTTGTTCTCGACCAACTTCGGTTATATTCTGATTTTATGAATAGAACCACCCTTTCCAATAAGTGTATTTATATGCTTTCCTCTAATTATTTCTATCTACTTAGTTGAGAAATTATTGATATATTTAGGAATGCTAGCCGATATGAGAATTATGCTTGAGAGGCTTTTGATTATTTTAGATAGATATCTAGTTTCTGCGATACATACTTCAATACAATCGTCATAAATCGACATACATAAATATAAATCTTTCATAAATAAATATGAAATAAGTATGAATAGCCAAGCTGGGTCCACCACAGAATTGGTCTTTACATTTCTACTTCTTTACATTATATTTCTAAACAACATTTAGGTTCGTTGTTCTGGTTTTTCGATTATGTTTCATGGCTGATATATATTTTGTTATTTGTTTCTTTTTTGTGTTTGCTGAGATTCAATGCATGTATTAGTGTGAATATGTAGTGTGAGAGGGGCAATGGCGGAATATTGAACAGCCCTTAGACCCTCAAAGTTAGTTTTCGTAAATGTTGATGGAGGAATATCGAATACTTCACCATCCTAATTGAGTGTATGGCATGTAAATAGAAAAAAGTATTTAATAGTGAATGGGTCTAGGTTTAAAAACTGCATGCGTTGGGGCTGAAATGACAAAGCTTGGATAGCACCTGTAGCACGTCGACATCAGGATAAGATCGAGGTCTGAGCCAGACTGTCTAAACCTGAAGGTCATAAGTTCGATTCTGTATAAGTGTGCATAGTTAAGCTTTTATAAATCAATAATCATATTAATTTTTTTTAAAGAGTTGGAGAGCTATAAATAGTAAAAGCTTTTTTTTTTACTTTTTCTATAAAAAATACTATAGTTTTGTGTAGCAGGGTTAAAGGAATTTTTTTTTATTTGTTCTCTATCTCTAATCACATGAATCCGAATAAAAAACTGCTAGAGGTTTGGAGCTATATTTATTTAATCGGCAATCACATTTTTAAGACAGTTTTTTTAAAAGATTTGCTTTCATGTGCAGAAACCGAGGGCGAGCAGGAAGAACAGGAGATAGTCGTCCCTCTCAACGAAAGGACTTTCATCGACGGAAAAGAGCTCGAAATGGAGCCAGTTCGAGACCATCTCAACGAAGTCGACAGCGTCGATTTGATATCCGCCGGTGACTTGGACAGTGCGATTTTCTACGATGTTTCCACACCCAAAAATATGCTGACCCAGGAAGAAAATACCTTATAAAATAGACCTTTAGCAATCCACCTGAGATTGAAATCAGCACGTGGTATATATGAAATTAGAATTGAATTGGCTGTTAAAAATTCGTCGTTTTCAATATTCAGCACTGGATAAAACCAATGCCGGTTAATTTAAAGATTCTTCGACAATTTCTCTGTCAAGCTATTTATTTCAATCTACTCTTTCTTTACTATTTATTATTACATTTTAATCAAAAATACTTCTTGAGTATATACTTCGAGTAGTTAGATTTACTGTTTTTATCTAATTGAGTATATTCTATCTCTACAAATTGAAAAGTACCTGTGTAGGGAAGATAAGCGAACTATTTAATACATAAGCATAATATAGTTTTATCTTTGTAAAAAAAGTAGAATTTAAAAATATATACTTTTGTATCTATGCATCTTTTATCTGAACTTATTATGCGATTGTCTATTATAAGAGACTTATTTTTGCAGTTAAACCGTGTCAAACAGATCTTTTGAACAAGTACGACATAAACAGTTTGATCGTAGTCGATTTAAAAGTTAAATAAATAATAATATAGTAGTAGGGTGAGACGTATTATTATCAAGTAATTACAAGTAAGCAAAAACTTTGCCAAATCTACCTCCATTGGAAACATTTATGCAAGGAGAAGCTAGGGAAAGCTTATTTAGGATCCAGTAATAATTAAACTGGATGGGAACTCAACACTTCGTTTCCACAGCAATAATCAATAAAATCAGAAAACCATTGTTAGAAATGGGGACTGACTGCATAATATGTACAACCATCTTTACAACATCCTATAAAGTTTAAACATACTACAAACGAGATTAAGAATTCAGGAGAACACCATATACAATGATATAGTATACAGATTAGGTTCTAAAACACTTGAAGGAACCGAATCAGGTGTTTTTTACAAGGCTAAAACGAGCAATCAAACTAATTAGGAAAGTACAACTCGGTTTTTCAAACTGAAACAGAGAAAATCTTAAAAGAGGTTGCACTGACACAAAATAAGATCGGATACCCAAGCAACTATATAACCAAGTAAGAAAAATCACGCCAAAACTAGTCAGTGAATGCATCCAAAATCTCCAAAACCTGATGATATTGTGGGTACCAAGACACAAAGAAATTTAACACACAACCTGTCAGGACAAAAGTACTCATGTATTTAATTATTTAATTGTATTATAATTTTGGTTACAATAAAATCTCAATATATTAACGGTGAAATGTTAACTAAAATAGACGACGTGGATGGTGAAGAAGACGAAGAACGAAAAGAAGTTCTAAATATCAATTCTATAGATTCCAAGAAATTGATAAATTGCGTAATAAATCGTTTATTAACGTGGATGAAAACGTGTTCGGGACAATTCACACTATTGAATTAGCATAATGTTTACAAAAATGTATCAGTGTTTTCAGAAATACATATAAGTACATACATTTATATACAATACAATGAAAAAAAAGAAACTTTCGATATAACTAATCTTTATGTAAGGTATTGGTTGAAATGAAAAAGGTAGTGTCACGAGCGGGATTCGAACCCACGACCTTCGGCTAAATACACTCGGACACACATCGAATGGCAAAAAGGAGGGAAAATTCGAAAGGTAGGTTGAGATGGGAAGTTGGTGACCGTGGATCGAAGTCACGATAGCTCGAGTGGTAGAGCAGCGGCGTATTTAGCCGAAGGTCGTGGGTTCGAATCCCGCTCGTGACACTACCTTTTTCATTTCAACCAATACCTTACATTAATTGAAAGAAGTCATTTGGTCAATCGGATCACGAAATATAAGGGACTCGATATAAGTTTGTTTCATTTTTTTTCTTCGATATACCATAATGTCGAACATGTAGAAATATTGTCCTTATACTTCGTCCCCTTGAAGATATGATACATCGGAATTTAACTGTATTTAATTGCTATTTTATGTAATATTGAAGTTAGATTTTGAAAAAAATATTTTTCTAAACAATAAGTTTATACTTCAAAGCATCAGTAATAAATAATAAATCTAATAATCAATAAATAATAAATCTAATAATCAATAAATAATAAATCTAATTATTTGCTTTTTTTTTTAAATATACTTCTTTGCGATGGAACCTCATCATATTTTGTTTAGGTAAATTCCAAAAGCTTTTAGTTCCAGCAGATTTCACCTAAAGAATTTAAAATTATATTTGCATTTTCGATTGGGAGACAGTTTCTCCTTCCTTTAAATAATTTTCTATTAAAAATACGAAAGGGCGATTGAAATACTATCAAAATTTTGGTATATGACGTATATAATTTTCGTCGATTGCCCTGTACTCGTTTTTCCCTATGAAATAAAAAACCTCAGTAACGATCAGTTAAAAATCGGTTACAATAAACACTATAAAGGTTATTAATTTTATAACAATTTCTCCATCGCAGAAAGCAGAATAAAATATATACTACCGTGGAGTTGGAAATACAACTGGTACTAATTGGGTCGGTAGAGTGCCTCTTAACCTGGTGAAATGTGATATTGCTTCGTACGGTGTAGCATGACAGCGGTCAGTCATGTTATCAAAATGAACAATCCCTCCTGGATAAAACACTGTAATTTGATCCTGAATTCAGTACGATACCGATTTTGTGTTAAAATAGCCCTATCGAATAATATCGCGTTATAAAATATCTTTTCTAAACTGCTCTTTCCTCAAAGCAAATTCCAATTACGAAACGTTTAATTTAAAACGTCTATTGAAATTTAGAGTTACGGTAACGCCAACCTAAATTTAATTATTAAGTAAGCAACCTCTGATGTTCACAAGAAAGATATTTTTATTAGAATTAACAAATGTACGTTAGGTCAAAACGACATGTTATGTAAGCCACCAAGGATTTAATAAGAGCACCGTGATCTCGACAACCCTGAAAAGTTGTAAAGTCTACTTACTGAAGTTTTCACAACAGCATATTGTCTCCCCGACCGCCTTTTTCCCAACCTCTCTAGAAGGTACTAAAAATCAAACCCGAACAAAGACAATATTGTATAAAATCTATTTTATTACATTAGTATTTTTAAAGTTCACTTATACAGGGAAAGTTTAATACTCACCTATATTTCTGTTTTGCTGGGATGTTTTTGGGGAAAAAAACACGTAAAACTCTATTTTTTTACTAGTTTCTCATGAAATGAAAAGTTTGAATCTTGAGTCAGTTAATTTACTTTTTATTTTAATTGTTGATGAGCGTTTAATATTGCTTGTGGTACAGAAAGAAAAAAAACAGAATTTTCACCAGACTGAATCGCGCTTGAATAAGCTACATCCAAAGCTGTAAATCTGTTAATCGATGTTATTTGGGAAAATTGTTGCAAAATTTTTCTTTCGGTACCATGAGCAATTAATTTACCATCGATTCTAGGTCAGAGTCCACGGAGTTGGTACGTATTAAGTTTGACTCTTGTACCTTGAATTATTTTGTCACTTGGAATTAATAAAGTTGTAATCTGATTGGAAAAAAGGTGTAATAAATGTGGTTTTTGCTACAAACTAATTGACAGAATAGTTTTAAGATTGAAGTGTTTTGACAGTGAATGTTATTTTCATGTCTCGTGTGTTCGTCTGACGGAAAATGAAATTGATGTCTTCAATGAGCGGAGATCAACTTGGATGTGCGACGAATGTGTTAATAGATGAAAGGAACGTCGCATATGAATGGGGAGGATTTATTTAAAAATTAATCATGTTTTTGATGTTCCAAATTAAAGATGAATTCGCGGAGAAATTGAATGGCATGAAATCGCACTGTGTGCCTCGGTGAATTCACTTCATGTAAAGCTTGATGAAGTATCGAAAGGACTAAGCTCTCAAGTTCTAATAAATTAATTATATTCTAATTAAAAATAAATGATACTGAAAATTATGAATAACACTGTAATAAAGTAATTTCATTTGCGATTTTTTGTTTAAAAAAACTTTTCTGATTATTGTTTTCGTCATGTTGGTTAATCAATTTTCTGTTACTGTCTGTTATTACTAGGTTATTTATTTTTATTTTTCATTTTATAAAGGTTATCCTTAGTTTTTGCATGCTTCTGAATTTGAAGGAGGGGTACACTAAAAAGTTTCTAATGAGGTGTTTTAAATATTTTTTATTAGACATATTTAACGGCTAGTAATTTTTTTTATCATGAGTTGATTACTTTTGTATTTTTTTCTACTATCAATGTTATTGATTTTTCTGAAATACCTGATTGCTATTTGTCTAATTTGAATTTGAAAATTTTGAATTTTAAGACAAGAAGCTTTTTTTTCTTCTTCTTTTTTTTACGAGGGTATTTCAACTACGAGGTTATTTGAACCCTCGGAGTGCCGGTGTTTTTGAAAAAAGCCCATTTGTAAGTATGTCGGGTTCGAATGCAGGGCCGCTGGATTCGAACCCGGGACCTTTACCTTACAGTGATGAACGCCGTGTCAACGTCTAAACCGTTGCAGCCACCGACGCCCCCGACAAGAAGCTTAAATCAAACCTTATTGGGATATGTTATGTTTTTAATGAGTTTTTGATTCCCTAATTTTTAGTGAAACAGAATTACAATTTTTTAAATGTTTAAACTCCAACTAATATTATCTCTACTAATTCAATTAACAAAGTAGAAGGAATATCTGTCTTTCCTGAAATGATATAAAAGTTATTGATATTCATTATGTCTATTAGATATTGCAACAGTTTAAATATTGAAGCTTGATGAAGTTTCGAAAGGACTAAGTTCTAATTAATAAATTATATTCTAGTTAAAAATAAATAATATTGCAAACTATGATTAATATTGTAGTAAACTATTTTATTTGAATTCCATATTTTTGAGATTTTTTAGTTTAAAAACTTTTCTGATTATTGTTTCGTCATGTAGGTTAATTAATTTTCCCTTACGGTCTGTTATTACGAGGTGATTTGTACAGTACTGAATTTCTCAAGAGGTATTTTAATTATTTTTCATTAGGCAAATTTAATGGCTAGTAATTTTTTTTATCATGAGTTCATTACTTTTGTATTTTTTTCTACTATCAATGTTGTTGATTTTTCTGAATTACCTCATTGCTATTTGTCTAATTTTTATTTGAAAATTTTGAATTTTAAGACAAGAAGCTTAAATCAAAACTTAGAGGAATTTGTTATGGTTTTAACGAGATTTTATACAAATTTGATTTCATGTTTTGCGTGAAACATGGAATTATATTTTTAAAATTTTTAAACCCCTAATTTTACTCATTTTTTCTTTAGTAATTCAATTAACAAAGTGGAATGTATATCTGTCTTTTCCTCAAATGATATAAAAGCTTTTGATATAAACGATATTCATGATGTCATCTATTAGATCTTTGCTACAGCTTAAATATTGAATTTATGTCTAATTAGCAGGTGATAAATCTTACAGCTATTTACAGTTCATTTGATAGGAATGTTTTTAATTTTAAAGATAGATTATTTATTTTTATTTTTTCTTCGGAAGTTCCAAATTATATTATTTGCATCTCCCTTTCTACTTCCTTCAAAAAATTGCCTGAGTAATGAGCAGAAATATTATTTGCATAGGCAGTTAATGATCGCTGCTCAAAATGTCGTTAACAAACAGTAAAAAGAGAAGGGGACCTACCACGACCCTTGTGGAACTACTCTGTCTATTTTTGTGTTTGTACTCAGGCTACTTTCAATATGCACACTTTGATAGCGTTCAGAAACGACTAGAGCAATTTGGGTTGTTGCAAAAGACCCAAAATGGCCTTTTGTTTTATTTTTTCTCAAGCTTGTTGAGCAGACATGAAGAGAGTGGAGTTTTAGTTAACAACAATCAGGCTTATAAAAGTTTTAATATATTTCAAAGACTTACGGGCTTCCTCTTCATACTTTTTGGGGTACAAAAAAGACTGGAGTCGTTGAAATTAAAGCTTGAAGTTATATGAGCCTGGTTGTTTTTGCTTTTTTTAAAACACTCCAAGCTATTGTTTTTAATGTTTCATTTCAATATTATGTACATGATTAACCGTTGTTCGATTAAGTGTACTTTATAAAAAATATAGTTTAGAATCAAGTGCGTATTCAGTGTCCTGTTGTTAATTTGTTTTCCCCGAAAGGCAGTAACGAGTTACTGACCATCTCAAGTCTTAATTGTGTATAATTTTCTACAGGAACGTTATAATTTGAAATGAAAGTTGTAGAAGGGTCACTTTTGTTTGATATAGAAACCAAATCGGACCATGTAAGTATGTTGAGGCCGTTTATTATTTTCACACGAAAATTAACTTTAATAACCAAGCGTTTACGCACCAAATATACCGCACCCATTGATTAAAGTCTGGTGGGAGACGGTTATATACCTCGCCGGTGATATTACCGACGGTTGTTTTATCATGTTCATGGAAAGGACCTGATATGCTCCGTGTGCTATTCGTGTGGTTCGGTTTCTCCTTGGCCCACACCTCGGCGAATTCGTCCTGGTACCGGGACTACTTGAAGATCGGTCAGACTACCCTGGTCGAGTGCAGGAAGGAAACTGGGGCGTTTGACCCTCGCGTAAACGACTACCACGTCTCGTTAGTGCGAATGAAAAATTGTGTCGAAAATAAGTTTCTGTCCTCCTTGGATGCTCTGATCCTATCGAAGGACGTACCTATAAATCCATACGTTACCATGAAAATGGAGGATAATCACATTGCCTCCAAGTAAGTGATTCAACATAAAAATACCATCACAAAACATGTTTCATATGACTGCATTTAAAAACAAAAACTCTCTCATTATTTAAGAAACACACAATTATATTTAACTCATAATGCCAAAGATTTTAATCGACTATCATAATTTACCTGAATTCAGAATATAAAAAAATCTTTTATAAGTGAAGAGCATATAGTAGCTTCAGAAAACATCCATCATGATTATCTTGACAGCAACCAGAATATTTATGTCTGAAATATCATAAGCTGTACAGCATACAATATGTACTTCACAGATGAGTTGTAAACATAGATTTTGAGATTAAGCGTTCAGCTGTAATTACTGTTATAATACAGATTTTATGATAAAAAATGACAAGGCAAATGAAATCGTGGTAAATGTTCAAAAATTAGTATTTCAAGTCAGCGAAATTGTGTGTATTCAATAAGTATTTTTCTAAGTTAAAATAAACATTAATTTGTTTTACGTCCAGATCAAATGTTAAAGAGACACTACATGGTGTATGCCTGTTCCTGTTCAAGTTTTTTTACGTAATTTTTACAACATAAAATTGTCAATATTTCCAATCATAAAAGTTTATAGAACGCCTGATTATTTTTTTAATCAGTATGTTTTTTTCGTTCTTTGCATAAATATAAGCAAAATTAGGCTCGTACAAAAACCTTTCTCAACGGAACCTTCCGTTGTTCAAAATTCACTAATTAATGAAGCTCCTTTTGAAGTTTTGCTTGTTCATTAAAATAACGAGGAAAGGAGGTCTTTTTTTAAGTAAAACCTGTAACAACATTTCTTATATTTTCATGCTTGAAATTGATTCAAAAGTACAATAACCTTTTCAAAAAACAAAAGAAATTAATAAATTAAATTATTTTAAACAGTATTTTTTAAAAGCTTTGTGAATTATTTATGCAGCTAATTCTAACATAAAAACAGGGCGTGTTTATATTATGCTAAATAAAAATTTAAGTATATCCTTCGTTCGTTCTTCTCCGGAAATATAATTGTAATTATATCACCCAGCATATTGCTATCATAAAACTGAATCTGAACAAAAACATGATCATATTATTAAATATTGGTTATGTTATTTCATTTTAAAAGCACAATTACGATTATTATTTCTTAAAGTCATTCCAACAACCTGCTATAATCAATAATAGATATTTTTGTATGACTGTAGGTGCAAGAGTGGGGTAAACCAAAACTCAATCTGTTCTTATAACCTAAATAAGTTTTCATTTTGAAAGAGTTCTACTCATAGAAGTTCGTATAACCAGAACTTCTAGAAGTATCTCTTCGGTGGCCGCAACGGCGTAGGCGTTGACACGGCGCTCATCACAGTAAGATAAAGGTCCCGGGTTCGAATCCAGTGGCCCTGTATTCGAACCCGACACACTTACAAATGGCTTTTTTTAAAAACACCGGCACCCTGAGGGTTTATATGACCTCTGCTGTTGCGAACCCTCGTAAAAAAACTATCTCTTCCAAAAGTGAGTTGCCATAGTCATCCCACTTCAAATCATTTCTATTAACTAATCTTTTGTTGAAATTATTAAAATTAATCCTAAATATACGCGTAAGCCCTTTATGTATATTGTGTGGTGATTAGTGACCGTTAATCGATAATTATTCAGAAATCGTGAGATGAGGTCTGATGTGATGTAGGTTTCAGAAAAACATTTTCTTTATCGTGCCGACGTTTCGATCTTTATTGAGATCATCTTCAGGGCTCAAAGTGTTTGTCTTCTGTGTAATTGTGCCATTCTTGCGTGTCGTGTTGAGAGTGCCCAAACACGCAAGAATGGCACAGTTACACAGAAGACAAACACTTTGAGCCCTGAAGATGATCTCAATAAAGATCGAAACGTCGGCACGATAAAGAAAATGTTTTTCTGAAACCTACATCACACCAGACCGCATCTCACCATTTCTGAATAATTTATGTATATTGTACATATAATACATTATTGACATAAGGTAATGTAAAATTGCTGATATTGCTAAATTTCATATTAAAGTTTGAAAAAAAAATAAACATATGTTACTTTCAAGTCATGTGATGTTCGTAATTTCAAAATTTACTTCGCGTTTATTTGTTTATGCAAAATATTTGATTTCTCGATTTTTTATGCAATTGTTTACATCAAGTATACATTAAATATGTATCTAGATGATCATAACTATGGTCTTTGCGGTATTTTGTCAGTGATTCTTTCAAATATAAATTGGTACCACTCAATATGGCAAAATACCACAACGCATTTGACAGACAAAACAAGCGAAACTAGGTTGACCATGATTATCAGAAACTATTAAGTCCTTCAAAGATCATTATATTTAACAACTTACTTTTGAATGAACTGGCAAGGTCGTGGGGGTAAAAGCACATTTAAAATTAATGTCATCTTCCCATAATTTTTATTTGATTTAAATAAAAATAATTATATCCATTACTCTATGAATAATCTAATATATTATTATTATTTGTATAATCAGAAATCAAACAATGATTTATGAAAAGGCACATGGGAATCTTCAATTATAAAATACATACATTATAAAATAGAGAGACTTGGTGAATGAAAATAGATGGACAATTTATCGTTTTTACATTATAATTTATTAAATAAATTTTCTAGTTTGGATAAGTTGATTTTCTCAATATTTTTTATTGCTTTTTTGGAATCTTGTTTTCTCTTAGCTCTCATGCTTCAGTTTCTATTTTTAATTTTTTTCCAATGCAATCTCGAATCATCTAAATCATCAAATCATCTAAAATATCAAACTTTCACTGGATTGAATGTCTCTTTTATGTGTATATTTAAACTTTCCTTCTGTGTATTTTTCTGTGCAGCCTGACGGAAGAAAGCGATGATCTTTTTACGGAAGATCTAACCACATCAGTTTCCAAGAGGATTTTCAAGCTTTTCGAGACACACACGTTCAAAATCAACCTGGCGGAATTGAGCAAAGGAAACCAAGTCGAAGGTAGGTTGAAGGAAACTTAGTTATGTTTCTACGATATATTTTACACTTTAAAGAATATGTGCAAACGAAATTTAATTGTAATTTCTAATACCAATTTAATTTAAAGTAATTTATTTTATTAAATTTATTTTAAATAAGTTTGGTTCAACTTAGTGAAACTGTATTTGCCAAAACACCAAATGTGTACTGTTGTCATCTAGGATTTGCGGCTGAATTTATTTATGGTTTGCAAGATAAACCCCTGGTTGAAAATTGAAAAAGGCATTGGCCTCTGGCCTGGGGAGGCTGCGTCTAGAAGGGCAAAAGTTAGATCATACTTACCTCACACGATTGCACAATGTGACACACACACAGACATACTAATTGGGGGTGAATTGGGAGTTGCCCGTTGTGTGGAGAGCTTATCACGATAGATCATAAATAACAGACAGCAAAGAACTAAGCCTGTACAGAGAGACATCTGGCACCCAAATGACCTATGCGCGGCCTTAAGGCACCAGCAGACACAGATCGCTGATCCAATATCTCAGGGTTATAAATATGTTTAATTGTATATAGGTCTTTGTACCTTTATGTAAGCGATATGTGCTATTTATTGGAACGAATGTAGGCTTATCCCCCAATTATCCAGAGGAATATCGAGTACACTGGGGTATTGTGAATGAATGCGTGAATGTAATTTATTAGCGTGAATGAAGGAGCTTATCCCCAATTATCCCCGAGTATTCTGAGTTAGTGTTAATGATACCCAGACTGTCATCTTTTTTCTGTGTATTTGTGTGTTTGTTATTTGTGTTACTTTATTCCAAATTGACGAAGCCCTGAGTACAGAGAGGTACAAAAAAGAGTTCGCTACCGTTATATCATGAAAAACGTGGTAAAATATATATTGTTTGTAACTTGGCTCTAGGTCTATCAAACCTGGCGGGCTCACATCCCAAGTAAGACGGTATTAGACAGGTCACCAATATTGTTATTATGTCGGTCTTGTGACTGAGTTTCTTGGTTTTTAAACGGACAAATCTTAAAATTTAAAAAACGATTAATAAAATTGACCAAAAGCATCTTAAACTGGACTTTCGGCTTTTCAGATCGATCATGATAAAAAGATAAAACCCTGGTGAAATTTCAATTATTGACACGGGTTGTTTGGTCAATAGAATCTGGTGGGCTCCCATCACATCCCGGATGCAGTAATTTTTGACGCTTCACTAAAACATTTTCGTCACGTAGGAATGTCAACTGAATTTCTTTGTTTTTAGAATAAATTGTTTAACTTGAATAATTATTTATTACATTAACGTGTGGGTTTTTCTCAATATTCTTAATTGGTCTTTGTTGGCATTCCTGATCGATTAACGAATTCCACGAAAAAATATTTCTTCTAATAATAATAATCTTCTTTCATATAATAATAATCATATTAAATATTTCTTCTAATAATAAACTTTCTTCAAAAATTATAATTGTTTTTAACTGCATTTCTTTGTTATTAAATATTTAAATAAAAAACACAATAATGACCATGATTTTGATGAAAGATTCTCAAATTGGTCTTTCTCAGCGTATTTGATCGATCATCGACTTCTAAACTTGGCAAACCTATGCCAAGAACTGGTCTACAACTAATTAGAAAGTTATTAATAATCTGCAAACAACCCTGAAGTTATTTGTTTCCAAAATCCATACTTTGCATCAAAGAACTAGATGAACAAGATTCGACAATTAATAAACAAAAATTATTTTATTGGAGAACTTATGTATTAATAATGAATGAACATTTGAAGATGATATGGGTAGGTGTTTCTTCCTCTTTGTTTCATAATCTGGGATGGGCTTGTTATTGGATATGCACATGTTGTGAAGATTTTTTTAGATACCAGTGACCGGTTAATATCACTGACTCTTTGAATAATGCCGGGACGTTTCCTGTACTGTAAATAAGATTATAACAATTAAGCAGTTTTCTCGAAATTCACAACCCGAATTGTTTAGTTCACATCCAATTTGATTGCTTCGGGTGCCTAAATGAGCTTTTCCTCGGTTCCCCCTTTTATAAATATTTCCAAGAGAGGTAGGTTTAGCAGAGTTTCCAGTGCAATTGACGTGGTTGCTTTCTTTACCCCTGATACATTTGCTTGCCAATCTTTGTATGTTGCGTAATGTATGAATATGTTTTTGTTGAGCTTTGGTCCACCAGTTTAAGCTATACCACAGTTACTGCCTTATATAGCCAATAGAGCATTTTCAGTTAGGATGCTCAATAAGTATTAAGTAAAACAAAAATCGGTACATGTAGCAAATAAATTTATATTAATATGTTGACTTTAAACAATAGTTAACTTTCGCTAACAACTTCTTTTCTTCAGCTCTCAAAGTCGGACGTCCGAACTTAGCTCCTGTGTTTCTCCTCTTACTGCTAAAAACTACATACTTGAAGCCAAACTAGTCCACAGCAAGTAGCTAAAACTATTTATTTATCAAACTATCAAGCCAAATAGAAGTTATATTATATTTAGCAAAGAATCGTACTCTAACAAGTAAAACTTACACAAATAACAACTGAAAGTGAAATTTTAGGGTGTGTGTGTCTGTAATTTACAAATCCGTCTAGGTCGGCTAAGTGCGCTTAAGACCGTAATGGAAAAAGGAAACGTCAAGAAATTGAATTGCCCAGAGCCTCCGGATGTTTTTCAAGGCTGAAAAAGTTCGATTTTTACCCCTGTGTAATTCAATCATTTGTTTTTCAAGTTTGTCATCGCTAAATGTGAAACGAGGGGTTTCACGGTTTATTGCTCAAGTGTGAAGGAATTCGCGAAGTCCGAAGCCCTCGGGAGCACTTGACAATTTACCTTTTGACACTTTATCTTATTGTTAGATTAAAAAAGTTGTGAAAAGAATAATCGTGTTTCGTCCAAGAAAGTCGTAATTGGCCTAATTAGATTTGTTTTCTTTATGTCGTGGTTTTTAACTAGTTGGTAAGATTCTTAGGCTCACTATTTTTTTAAAATCTTGGATGAATGCTTTGAAACAAGTAATTTTTTAAAGACAAAAACAATTAAAATGCTTTCTCTAAAATTGATAAGGTAATATGTTTAACATTTTCTTTGAAAACATGGGCAGAGTTTCTAATTGTTTCAGTCTTGGCAGTTACAATTTTCACGTTCAGCAGTTTCTAATTGAACATTTAGCCTGTATCCAAGGCTTAGGACTGAAGTTTCATTTGATATGTAAATGTTCGAGTCTTTACGAACATCTTTGTCATCAATAGCCTTCTCTACATTGAAAGGTTCTGCCTGTTGGAGAGAAAAACAAACCCTAGTTTCATCTATTTTAAATGAGAATATAAAACTTGATTTTTGATATATCCAATATCATTGGTCATTAGTCAAAAGTGATTTATAATATTGCTTTTCTAATTTTTCTAATTTAACAAAAAGAAGGAAATCTTTACAATGAGACATTCTCTAAACAAAAAAGTTACTTCATTAAAGTTTGTAACTTGTAGTAGCTGACGATAGTGGGTTGAAGTAGACAAAAATAGTGAATTAAAAAATTATTAAAAATTAATCAAATTAATGAAATAAAAAAGCCAGTGTTACGAGCGGGATTCGAACCCACGACCTTCGGCTAAATACACCGCTGTTCTACCGCGTGAACTATAGAGCAACGGCGTATTTAGACGAAGGTCGTGTGTTCGAATCCCGCTTTTTTATTTCAACCCTTACCTTACATAAAAATTAATTAATTGAAAGGAGTTATTTGGTCAATCGGACAACGAAATCTAATGGATTATTAATCATAGTAAACAATAGGGCTATTGTTACTGAAAATATTGGAATAAAGATTTCTGTGGAAGCCTGCCATTTATGATCGAATCGATTAGTGTTTGGGAATAATAAATGACACCAAGAATTTATAATTGCCAAGTTTTTGTGACCATAATTAGCACATTATTTTAAATTAACATTCTACTTATTGGAACGTCCCAATTGCTTTGATTTTACAATTCATACGAATGGGATATTATTTTAGTATTTTTTTTTAAATTTAGACAATTGGATCGAACTACTTTCTAACAAAAACTGTGCTTTACTCAAGTAAGTGTTTAAATCAAAGTAGACCATCTTGCAAATCATTATGATAATGATATGATTTTTGTCATTGTTCCAAAAAACCAACTCCTTTCGATATTTACTATTATATTCAGCCAACAAAGCATTTGTGTTATTGTGTATATAAATGAGAATATTAGACTTTTGTAAGACTTTTTGTAAGATTACAATTATGCTTGTTGTTAATTATTATTTTTATTTATTTATGCTAATGTCCTAGCTTGAAAACAGACAACGTCCACTTCTGTTCTTAGTTTTCAATCATGTGTTAGTAATGATCATTAAATTGAAAAATAATAATCTTTTTAATTTTTATTACCAGATTTAAGTGATCATTGACTACGTGCTTTTTCAGGCCGGAGGAGACACCATTATCGAAGGGCGTTTCCCATGATGGTCGCCGGATTCATGATGATGACCGCCTTCTTGGTTCCACTCGGGTTCCAGTTCATGGCCATGATCGGAGGTAAGGCGCTCCTCCTCGCCAAGATGGCCTTCTTCATGAGCATGTTCAGCGGTTACAAACGTCTCACGAACGATCTCGACTACCATCATCACCATCCTTCCGGGCACGACCAGCTGCTCCACCACCTAGCTTTCCACCACAGGAGTTCAGAGAATCCAATGACAGTGGCATACTCCCACCAGCATAACGGTCTCATGCCTCTGCACAGAAAAGGATGATTTTGACACAAAAGGCACATATCACGATTTTCGAAGTAAACCATTCAGGGCACTATTAAAAACTCCAAATGTTCATGTTTTTATTCTACCAGGCTTGATTTTTCACAATTCTGATTAAGAAAAAGCTGCATGATCAAGATGATGGTGATAAATCTTCTTTAAAAAAAAGAATAAGCCATGCATATCAATTTGTAGTTTAGAAAAAACTTTATATTGCTCAAAATAATATGTAATATATAGAATAGAAATTTTTAACTTATTTTTAATTAAATTATTTATTTATTTACGATTTTTCTTATTTGAAACCTTGAATGATTCTATTATTAAGTGCAACGAAGATTATAACAGCTAGATTAAATCCGATAATGATAAAATGATAAAAACTTGAAAAGGCAATTTATTGTTTCATTGATATTTTGTTGAAGAGCGTTGGTACGTTTCAACCCTTCGGACCTCCTATATAACTTATTACTTTATGGAATTAAGTCGATGACGAATTATTGCAGGAAAGCAAACAACATTGCCAACGTCATTTTTTAAACAATTAATTTCAACCATTCACGAGGCCAGAGTCTGTAATGAAAGACCGGCCCGGAGGACCATACATTTTCCACAGGTGGTGAACTTCGTGTATCCTCTAATATAATTTATATACAATTAACTGTATTTATATATAAAACGAAAAAGTAATTGCATTGATATTGATTAAATATATATTCATCAATATAAATGCGCAGGAACACATTTACCTGACGCAACGCAACGTGACCTAACGACACCTGACGTCTTATCGCATGTTGGTGGAGTGTGCACAGCACGTCCACCGTTTATATCACAGTTGTCAGTCAGTAATATTACACAACTAACAATTCTAGATAAGCAAGTAGACTTAAAATCATAGATTTTAAGATAATCTAACTTAAACGTTTACGTATTAGGTGAATAACAATCCTGCTCGGAGGATCATACGTTTTCCACAAGTTGTGAACTTCTTGTATCCTCTAATATAATTTATATACAATTTAACTGTATTTATATATAAAACAAAAAAGTAAATTTTAAACAAAAGTAAACATTCATAAATTTAAAACCTGCGCAGGAACATATTTACTTGACGCAACGCAACGCGACCTGACGACTTATCGCATGTTGGCGAGGTGTGCACAATTTGTATCACAGTTGTCAGTCAATTATATTACACAACTAACTGTTCCAGATAAGCAAACAGAATTAAAACCATAGATTTGAAGGTAAACTAAGCAAGTAGACTTAAAATCATAGATTTTAAGATAATCTAACTAACTTAAACGTTTACGTAATAAGTGTATAACATCCTGCCCGGAGGACCATAAGTTTCCAATAGGTTGGGAAATTCTTGTATCTTTTAATGTAATCTATATGCAAAAATCTAATATTATGAAAAGTATTATAATTAATTTAGATGTATAACATCCTGCCCGGAGGACCATAAGTTTCCAATAGGTTGGGAAATTCTTCGTATCTTTTAATGTAATCTATATGCAAAAATCTAATATTATGAAAAGTATTATAATTAATTTAGATGTATAACATCCTGCCCGGAGGACCATAAGTTTCCAATAGGTTGGGAAATTCTTCCATCTTTTAATGTAATCTATATGTAAAAATCTAATATTATGAAAAATATTATAATTAATTTAGATGTATAACATCCTGCCCGGAGGACCATAAGTTTCCAATAGGTTGGGAAATTCTTGTATCTTTTAATGTAATCTATATGTAAAAATCTAATATTGTGAAAAGTATTATAATTAATTTAGAAAAAATTGTAATACATATTACAAAAAATTATTATATCGAGCCACGAAATATTTGACATTGTTCGTTTTATATAGGGTTGTTTCGCTATATGTAAAAGGAAATTTAATAACGAAAAATGTTTTCTGTGCGTTTCAACAGAAATGTAAGACAAACTAAAGGAAAAGCTACATTACACCGGTAACCGAAAATAGCACATCCTTTTTCTGAAACTTTACAACGTCTTTGACAGACTTTGTTGACGTTATTTTCTTGGACATTTACAGTATATAAAAAAAATTAAGAAGAACTGCTGTTTTAACATGTTTGTTTTTAAATGTGTTTTTTGGAATGTATATTCACACATGTTTCAGCCTGTAATTAATAAAGCGCTGATCCGGTTTTTGACTCAATCACTTCGTACAGCACATTATTGTTCTTCTAATTCCGGAATGAATGTTTTCGATTCGTTTTTTTCTGGAGGCGTTTCGGCGGCCACGTTTTCTTTGCATTTCTCTTCGGCATCCAGCAATTCGTGTGCTTCGGCGTGGTCGGTCGCATTCGCATCGTGGACGAAGTTCCTTAGAGATCCTTCCTTGTGGTTCAGAATGCGCCTGTCCCTCTCCAGCCGCTTGTTTTCATACTGCAGAGTCAGCAGACGGTCCTGAAACACTTAAACATTAAAAGGTTTGATACGATACGTGTACGTTAAGCTTAGGGACTTTTGCATAAGTTCCCACCTCGATTTGGTGTATGCTTTCTATGGAGAGTGTCGCCTTCAGCTGCAAACCTTCTGCGTCGCTGTCGTCGTTGAGCGAAACGAAAGAAGGTGTCGATCTCTTAGGAGAAACGACGGCTTTGCATTCCTGCAGAACTGAAACAAAACGGAAGATGGCAGCGGACCCATGAGTAGTGGAATTTCTCACGGCGGCTCTCAACTTACAGATCTCCTTTATGCTCTCAGATTTCGAGGTCATTTTGGGTCTCGAAATTGTAGAATCGAATCCGGCTTTCATTATGCTTTAACACGTGTGTGAGGGTGTAATACTTTGAAACTTAACAAACGAATTTTCCTTGCATCATTTGACTGAAGTGTAACATATGTTCCCCTTTTGGAACTCATAAAAAAATCACTTCAGGCTGAAACAGATTTTTTTTTTTAAAAGAAAGAAAGGATAAAAGTTCATTGCGCTTACCTACAAGAAACAAAGCGAAAAAGGGACCACGCTTCTACCTCATTGAACGGTGCACTAAAACGCAATATGCATAGAACCATTCAAATATAAACAAGTTAAAAAAATGTCATTTTATAAAAACAAAAGGAAAAAATGGCAAATCCAAAACAATTTAATGTTAATATAAAATGTTATTTCATATATACTAAAATTCTTTAAAAAAATAGAAAAATCGGCTATTGGAGATCATACTTGTAAGAAATGAAAAGCTCGTAAAATTTAATGGTTGGAGAACAAGTAGAGCTAACTTTAAAACATAAAGAGAATATTGGACAACCCCATAAACCTTCATAAAAATGCTTCATTATCGATATTCTATAATTTTACTTATAATACATTAATCAATCTACTAATGTTTGATTTATAATGGTTTTATGTAAAAAAAGATTTTTAGTTTTAAAAATAACTTTCATTTTCATAATAAATTTTAACCCAGGGGGAATTTTATTGTTTTCCTTCTGGTCAAATGGAAAATAAAATTGAAAAAACAAGTTTACATCTTGGGAACCGAATACGATACTGCTTCGCCGACTGATGTCGTCGTTCGTACGTTTGTTCCTGCCAATCTGCTCCACCCATTTCATATGGGTGGCCTCCTCCTTCTTCAAAGCCTTTTTCAGGAAGCCTTGCTGTCAAACAAAACAAGATAGTGAAATCACGTTTTCAAAACAGGAATATAACAAAATCTGTAACCGTCTAACCTGGGCGTACTGAAGGCTGTACGTTTCAGGGGTACGACACAGGACAATGTCGCTGTCGGAAAAGTCGATGGAAACGCAGGACGGCGTCGAAAGGGCAGGCGAAGGTACAAACTGTTCCGTCGAATTGGTAGAAACAACTGTAAACTTGGAAGATTATTAAAATATATAAACCTATTTATCATACCTGTTTCGCAGTCTTGTAACACATAACTTTCATTTGATACACAATCAAAATTACATTATATCTAAAAATTGTCAAAAGGGAAAAAAATCGGAGTTTAATATCTATCTCGAATCTAAGTATATCGTGTATCTGGAGGAGTGAATGTGACCAGACTTGTATGCTTGTATCAGGTGTTGTTTATGTTAATACATTAGAACGAATGTAATTTATTAGCGTGAAAGGAAAGGAATGCTTAACCTCCCCCCTCCCCAGGAATATCGAGTACTCTGGGGTGAGAGTGGACTTCCGGAGAGTAAAAAATAATAAGCGAGAAGGAGTGGGTCCAACTCCACCACAAGGAATATCGAGTACTCACGGGGTGTACAATACGTCTGTTTGTGGTGATGTATATGTATGTTTTGTATATTCTACTCTGCAATTAACAACGAGAAGTACAAATTAGAGGATAGCATATTAGAAAATCGACTTAGTTTTAATATAAAGCGGAGAGTCAGTAACAGATTGAGACGCTCAAATGGCTGCAGGATGAAAATATGAATGAAAGACCAGAAAAAGAAGTAAACAAAGGCAGGGGGCAAATTGTTATTTTATTATTAATGTTGTTGTTAATTGTTATTTAATGTTATTATTAAATGTTATTTGTTGTGTTTGCATGTAATTTATTAGCGTGAATTGAGGGGCTTATCTCATCTTGCTTAACCCTCCCTACTAGGAATATCGCGTACTCTGGGTTAGTGTGAATGCTAACCAGACTATCGTGTTTTTATCTTGTGTCTGTATATTTTGTTATTTTATCCACAATTGACGAAGTCCTGAGGTATAGAGAGGCTAGTAATAGGATAAAGAAAAGTGATCATAATACTTCATAACTTGGCTGGAGAAATAGTAAATATATAATTATATATAAGAAGGTCTAGCATGTCAAAGATATATTAATCAAATAAATTTTAAATAATTATTCTTCATGGTGTCTAATGAGTCTTTATAAGGGTGTTTGTATTGATAGCTATAACCCTCACACTGAAGATGGTGAAAAGCCGAATGCGCGTTTGAGACACCAGACCAGAATAGACAGAATTTGATAATCGGAAACTACCAAAGGTTTATGAAAATTTAAAACAAAATTAATTTGGAATATTTTAATATCCATATATCGATAAACATATGGCCAAATACTAATCGTACAATCGTTGTGTTTATTTATTAAATTCCAAAGCTTTATCGTTGATAAGCTTAGCTGGAACGTTGAAAATATACCATCGGAATTTGAGGTACGCTGTATTTGAGATAAATGGGCCATTTTATCACTAAACCGAGAAAAAAAAATCTCAAAAAGGACTTTTTTAGTTTTAGTTCAAGCCTAAACCTCAATCAGACAATTTGGAATTCGAAGGACGGAGAACACTTGCAATTATTGAAATGCTTTATGCAATGGAATTTGCGTTGACGTGTTTCAAGTTCAAATTAACAACTTTCTTCGCACGTCGACGACAAATTGTTTAGACTTGACGTCATAGATCAGGATTTAAAGTAATTTCAACGGCTTTCTTTCGAAAGTCACTTCCACCCAGAAAAAGAAAAATGAAGCTAAAATATGTTACGATTTTCACTACGTACACAGCTCCTTTATTTCGTTTTCGTCTGTGTCACCTTCGAGAACATCTCCCCCTAATTTTTTCGCCAAGAGGTCGAATAACGTTTTCAAAAATGTCGGCATGTTTAACGATTCCGTTTGTTCTCGAAGCGATGCATTTTTCTCTCGGAAATTTGTTCGGATCAACACTTGCTTGTTTTCAATACATATGGTGACTAAAACTACAGCTACTTTAACAGGCAGCCGGCCTGGTGATTTACAATAATTTTCAAAAATTGAAAGATACTTAAGGAAAACAAGGATTGGGCAGGAGAACATCTTCAGCGCTCAAGCCGTTTTTTATCTCCCAACGACCTTCAATTTAACACACTGGTAATAAATATTTGATCTTTGTATATCTCAAAGAGCGGGGGTGCGAACGTGGAGGGGATGGGGGTGTATATATAGGAGGAGAATCCATGGCCAACCCTCCAGTTTCCAGCAATAGCCAGGGCCGAAATGTTTTCTAGTGCAATTCTCATCTTCATTCTAACCACAGCCACTGCTTCCCCATTCCCAGTGAGTAAGCATAAAAAAACCAAAAACCTAACCAATCTGTTTTGCAGGGATTTAAAAAATCATCGACTGTGTTGGCAAAAAAAATTTCATAAATTGCATCACCCATGTGGGATTTTGAATAATCAAAAAACGAGCCAAATTAAAATTTGGACCAAATAAAATAAGGATAGGCAGGTATTTAAAAAAGTAAAAAAAAAATCAAGTTAAAAAAATTTTAAATTAAATTACTCTCGTTAAATTATGCTGGCTGTCAAGAGCAGTAATGAGCAGTATCACACAAAATTAATTATTTTTCACTCTTCTACGGAAATGCTGCATAGAAAATGTTTGTAAAAGGACTGGTGGTAAATATGTTCAAATAAGGGACCGAGTTATTTTTAAAAACCTTGGTTTTTCACATCTTGATAACTCGTGTTATATTTTAAAAAATTGAAAAATAGCTTCCAAATTTTAAAACATTGTCACACATTTAATAATTAATAAAGATAATAGCTTAAATATTAATCTTAAAATAATTGTTAGAGTTAATAATTGATGTTTTTACAGACTTTTTATTTTTTTATTTATTTATTTTTTTTTTTTAGTTTGAATTCTAGTTAAAACAAAACTCTGCCAAAATCTTTGCTTCAACCATCATATATTTTCGTTCCTTTTAAAATTTCTTTGTGTATTTTATCATTATTTTCTTTATCAATCCTCTTACGTTCAAATTGATCAATTCATTGATACAAACCAAACTTTTAGCACTTATTGAATCTTGAAAATCATACGCATATGTTCGAAAAAGGTTTTACCAATCTATTCAAGCTTTTACAATGTTTTTACCTAAAATTGAATTTAAATTGCAAAAAAACATTTCCGGAATCGGATAATAATAATCAGTTGATAATCAGTTTGTTTCTTGAAAAATCCTTCTGTGACAGCTAGCGAAGTTTTTTTTCAAGGCCTAACATATTGTCTTTGACACCATGGAGTCGAAAAATTTACTTATTCAACAGAAATACATTTTACAAAAAAAAATTATATAGGCCAGTTTAAGTTGAATCTCACAAAAAGTTGATTCTATTATAACTCTAATTCTAATCCCCGTAACAATGAAAAAGTTTTGTGGGATTTATATCAAATTCTTCTTTTGCCGGCGGTGTTCGATATTACCCTCGCTCGTGTGTTAATCGTGAATTTCGACGAGATTTCCGCTCCTAAATTTCTAAAATAATCCTTTTTAAGCTTTTCAAGCATTCAAGCATCGGACCATTGAATTAAGCTTCTGCCGTTTGCTGCGAACGCATTTAATCTGTTTTACTGCCGATAGATTATCCGTCAGGGCACCAGTTGTTAGAAATAAAAAGATAAAACAATAAAATGATTATCCCTCTTGTGCTTTATTGCTAAATTTGTCAAAGTATTTATTGTTGGAAATAGAGATAGCCTGGGAAAAAATGTATATCGTAAAAAATTCCACAGCGGTTCTACAAGAAAACGTTGCACATTGCAATCAAGAATTTAAAAAAACTTTTCTCTACATTTTCGCTTTATTATATGCCTATCTATCTACCAATGTCTAAGCATCAATACTGTGAATATGTCAAAATAAAGCACTAAAAAACAGGTGCTGAATTTAGATTAAATCGAAAAAGTTTAGTATCACAGTAGTGTTGTTTAATTCCAACAAATCAATCCGAACTAAAACCTTCTGAGAAACGTGAATCCGCAATGGAAAAACTACTTCCATTGTTGTGAACTCTGCTGAGCCTTTGAGTGATACGAGAAGGAATAAAAGTCGAACGACACCCAACACAACAGAAGATTTCTATTGGAATTGAATTTCATCGGATATGACATAGGCCCTCGACCCTCGTACTCTGAAGATCTACTCAATCTCAATCTTATTTACCAGCACGGAATTTATCGATGAAATATACTTGTAAGGCGTACAGTGAATGGAATTCTACTCCAGTGTAAACACATGACATACTTTTCCTGAATTTATTTAATAAGTTTTATGTCCGCTTACGTCCCTTTATTATGGCTTGTAAGATAAACCCTTACCCCCTAAATAATCTCTGCCTTCAATATTACAATTTTATATTAAAAATCAGGAATAAAGGCAAACCGTAAAGAAAATTCACTTCCTAAGACGAGCTTTTATGAAAAATATCACCTTCATCACAACCTTGAAAATGCAGTTAACAAGGTAAATAAATATGAACATTCACAATCTATTCTATTTGATAACCTTGTTACTTAATTATTAATAATAATTTCAAAGTTCTGTAGAAACGGATACACTCCTTGAATACTGGAAGAAGGGGCTGAGTTTTTTCTGTCCAATTGGCCTTATTCCTAAATTTTAAAAGTAAAATTATCATATTAAAGGCCAAAACTAATTGCATTAGTTTGAACAAAATATATTACAATTAGGCACGAATCGGGTTGACATAAAAGGCAAAATGGCATTTCCTTTTCTTTTGCTCATGATTGTTGAACAGAGAGGAATTTAATGAGTAAAACAACCAGATTGTAATGTGTAACCAGAATGTAAAAAGTTTTTATCCGTAGAAACGATAAATGTGGGGTGAGTTCGTTGTTCAGCTACTTTAAAAGCTAGTTCTTAAAGTTAGTTGACTATTTTCATTTTATCATTTATAAAATCGCCATTTTTTTTATTTTGTTAATGTAACATAAAATTTAACATAAAATTGTTAATTGATTCAGGGTATGATTTCCATTATTTCTATCTTCCATTTGGACAGATCACAGGAAAACTTTGTAATAGTTGCGATTAAAATGTATAAAAGGCACTTGAAAAGCCTGGCCACTTTGTCGACCATTTTCTGTTATATTTGAAAAAAAAGTTTATTTAAGTTATTTCTCAAATTTGAGAGTTTTTTCACTCAGCTGAATGAAGACTATGTGAAAGTTTTTTTTTTAATCCTTCAATTAATGTTATATCTATTTTCCTTCTGAAAAGAACAGCCACAATATTGTTAATATTCAACACGCTTATTAGTTAATCGAAAAGCATTGAAATTTTGGCTTTTGTTACATTTTCTCATTTTGCAAAACCACATCGTCGCGTAACGTAATTAATAATTATTATATAATGTTACATAACGACGAGGCAAAAGGCAATCATACTTTTTTAACGGATGATCTAATTAAATGAGTAATCGAAATCCTAATTAAGTACCTTTTTAACATCAAGCTGTCAAAGCAAATCATGCAATATTTATAATTTACTTGATTAATAAATATTTTCGAAATGTATTTAGACTGTATGTGTTAGGCTTTTCATATCTTTAGACGATTTTTTAAAAATTTTGTTTTGTTCTTATTGTGTCTTTGTTTGGTTATTAATGTCATTATTTTCGTTCTTTCATTCATTCACTTTCATTTTTTTTTAAATATTCCTAGAGTCAATTTAGAAGCCAAAAGAAAAAGAGAAAGTGTTAATCTTTTTGCCTTTTTAAACGACTGATGTCTTATTGCTTTGTTTTGTTTCAACGACCTTTCTTTCAAATAGTCAGTCAATATGAAAATTAAAAGATAAACGAGAAAGAGCAATAATATAAGGATGAATGTCAGATCCGTTTGTAATCCTTTCCGTCACGAATACCAAATGATTCAGACGGCCCAAATGATTTGTACAAACATCGCCAATGACGCGCGTCCCCGATTCAGGAACAAATGACTCCGTGTTTTCCTGGAAATAACGAGACCAAAACGACAAATGAGCTGCGAGAGATGCCGTTTTTACAACTGTGAACCATGCGATTGCAATTGTCCACAAAACAACCAGTTGTTTTATATCAAAGAGTTTTAAATATTTATGTTATGATTAAAAAATTTCGTCTTGCTTTAAAACGAGCACCTCCTAAAAACAGGTTCTTTTAGAACTAGCACCAACTTAGAAGAGAAACTTGTTACCACCCCAACTTAAATTTAATTATAACAATTTTCTAACTCCTGGCAAACTGATTTTAAAACAAAACCTTACCCAAGAATATAATTGGAATAAGTTAAAACATAAACTGGCAATGCGTTTTGATTTTTGAAATTTATAAGGCTGTTATTTCAAGTCTAGTCTTTTCTCATGAAGACTTCTGACGACTGTTTTAAACCTTACCCTGGCGTTATCTACCGTTTGAAGTTGACTCCCTATTATATCCTTATATCCCTATAAGGAAGCCGAATGACGGTTCTGAGGTGCGGTAAAAGCAATCAAACTATCACCTCTAGCCGTCGTACTTCGCGATAGACCCTCTCTTCGATCGAGACTTCCGGAGGCTCTAACCTGCTGTGGACCATCGTGGATGGTAGAGCACGGCACACCTAGGACTTGGACTATGTAACGGACGCTCGCTGGCCAAAGCATCTGCCCGGGTGAAATCTCGACTTGAAACCAAGCTTTGATGAAGAAAAAACTTTTTTCACTCAAATTTATTTTTTTCAAAGAAAACAATTCAAAAACCAATTAGCTCACTCGACAAGTCGGCTCTGGAAAGGATGAAATCGAAATTATTTTCTTCATTTCTAATCTAAAGACTGTAAAAGGATTAATAACACTCTATAAAGGTAAACAACAAGTTATTAATGTTGTGTTTATGTTTTAATTCAACTATTAATCTCTATACATAGTTATCATGGAAAATAAACAAACAAAGATAATTACAAACACAATTTGTCTTTGAGTGTATATTTCCCCGTACATTACAACTTCTAAATCTGTCCCCAATGCTTAAAAATTTAAAAACATAGGCTGTAAAAAAATCATTGATCGACTTTCTTCTCGGTAAATTTACTAATTTACTTTGTACCTGTTTTCCATTAGTTCACGAATCTCTAAACAGTTTAAATGTATTTTCAATTAATTCTTGATTTGGGACAACGTTTGGGTAAAGTTTCCTCATCAATCATTCAAATTCATTAAAGTGCTTCTTGATGATTCTAACCTGGAAGGGTGAGTAAATACGTAAACAAATTTTCAATCAGAAAAACAC